TCTACTGTGGAAGTGTTGCATTATTCTAGAACTTCTTTGAAGGCTTGGATCTCCCTATAAAGCTGCATAAGTTCTAGGGAGAGATTCTGTAGCAATCCTGTTTGTCTGTTTTAAACATGGCATACTATGTATTTTACACACTACTTGAAAGCAAAAAACATCTCTCCCCTCCCTCCCCGCAGAACACCATGACTTGGTTTACACTGTAGTATTCTTGCAACAGAACGGACCATCACATACTCTTTAGGATGAAGGTATGACAGCCTCTGTCTAGAACCTGCCCCTCTGCAGGAATCAGCTGAAGACGTGAGTTCAGGTCTTCGATTACTTCTGATTTCCCTTCTACTTTATTACGATTGCTAACAAATATGGATTCTTTTATTAGAATTAGGAAGATGTTCCCTTTCTTTTTACTAATGACCTCGAAGATGAAATATTCTTCTTATATATGTGGACAATACCAAACTAGGAAAGGCAACCAAAGGACAAGATCAAAATTTAAAGAAGTTCTGACAAGCCAAACGAATGGTCTGAAGAGGACAAGAATTAAGGATACGGGGAGAGTATGGTCCTCAGAATGGCATGGATGATGAATCAGAGACATGATTAGCAATGTTAACCTGCTCTAAAAAAGCTATGGGCAAGGCGGGAAATACTGTACATGATTTATATCAAATTGATGAAATCTATCAGTATAGGAAAGACTCTCCTGAACACTTACAGATCTCCTGTACTCTACAGCTGGCGGGTCTGTGTGTTAGCTGGGCAGGAGGGTAAGGAGGGTTTGGGTGGTATTTTTCTTGAAAGGTGTGTGCAGAAAACCAGTGTGCAGTATCCCACCAAGTCAGGCTCAGCCATTGGCAGTGCACCAGCTAACCACAAAGCTACTCAGTCTTCAAACCATTGTTTAACCATACAGCTAAAGCACTAATTATTATTACTATTGTTATTATTATTATTATTATTATTAATGTTTTTTTTAAAAGGCAGGTATTCACATGGGTTTGAACCAGTCAGGGAGCATCACAAATTCTAACATACTCATTCTCCTGAAAAAGAATGGAGATTTAGGAAGGAAATCTGAGACAAAGCAAGGATTTGAGGCCGATCTCCCAACTTTCAGTATAGAAATACAGCTTTTTCTCTGCTCCCTAGTGAAAAGCAGACATCAGAAACAAATCTTTTCATTGGGAAACAAATATTTCCGTGAGAAAAACTTATTTGAAAAAATACTATAAAAGAACTATTTTTATTAAAATTATCACTTGTCTGGTTCTTTCTCATTTTAGAAACTGAGAGTATGAGAACATTTAATCATTATATGAGTTGTAAAAAAGAAGATACTGTATATTTAAGATTTTAAGAAGTTTTGCTCATTAGCAGAGCAGATACTTGGTTAAAGATATCACAGGAAAGAATATGGGGTATTCATATTATTTTTACACTATCTGAAGATCTAAACCAGTAAACTCTCCAAGACAGCTTCCAACTCTTGCTATGACCTCAATATTCTCCAAGACCTAAGGACGGGATCCCTTTGAAAGTTATCACTTTCAATAATGCAACCCTGAATGACTCAGTTTTTACAGTACATGAAGAGCAATAACAAACATACTCCTGTGTATGCAATATGTATAAAGGCCCATTTGCAGATTCAGCCAAGTTGGTAATTTTAGAGCAATGAATTACCAGTCATCAATAGCAAATGATTAAAAATCTGCTGGCAGACATGACCAGATTTAATTACTAGTGATGGTCAAACCGACAAACAATTGTGCATTTATTCCAACTAATACAGACATTGAACATCTATCCACTCCAAATATTTTCTAACAACCTTTCAATTTATACTCCCAAAAGTAATTTTTTACTTCTTCTGAAATACTCTGCATAGGGATACTTTTTTTTTTTTTTTCAGTTGAGTAATTACAAAGCCATTCACATACTGATATAATTTTCAACTATACAAAAATCAAGGACTGAAGCCAATCACCAACACTCAAACTTACCAAGTTCTGACCTCAGATTCTGAGTGCATTTTGGCTTGGAATGGTATCTGCCACTCTCAGGTTTTAATTTATTTTCTCATTCAGCTATCTTGCTTCAAACAAAAGTGGTTGAAAATACACAGCCTCTTTTTCGCAGTAAGCTTCTCTGGCCTAATGGAAGAAAATGCTCTAAAGAAGTTGACCTCTTCTAAATATAATTCACTTCCCTGCATATATAAGCAAGTATCTGCCTCTTGCTCTCTAGAGGAACATCTGAACCTTGGGGAAAACACACTGCTTTCAGTCAATGTGGCTCTCAAGTTTCTTGATGCAGCTGAGATGTGAAAAATAACTAGTAGTTTTATATACCAACAAGCACAGACTGCTCAAATATAGAGAAGGGCATTATCATTTCTTGTTAAATGGACCATTTATGTCACAGCTTGTCTGCAACACAAACGGTGAGCACACTGCGTACTCTTTCACAAGTGTTAAGCCTGACTTTCCTTGCCTTGCTCCATGTGAATGACAAGAATACAAATGGCAAGAGAGCACTGAAGACCTGAACTGGTGGCCTTTGCCAGGCATTTTGCAGAAAATGAATTGAGTGGAAAAGCAAAGGTGGCAAAGGCTGGCGCCTACCTGGAGCACTCGGCTAGGAGAACAGCGTTCACCACTTGCATAATGCTTGGCTGGTACATGCTTTCATATGAACTCTCATACAGCTCTCAACAGCCTGTGACAATACAGCTTTCAGAATTCAGTAAGGAAAACAAGCTTTATGCTGGTACACCTATGTCTGCACCAGTTACATCAGCACAGCAGCGAAGCATTTTGGCACAGGGCAGAGGGGGAACTAGGTCAGCTCCGAAAATCCTGCTGTCAGTCTCTTGGGAAGTGAGAGCTGATGATGAAAGGCAGTGTAATTATTGGCTCTGGGTTGTATTAAGATAACAGCATAAAAACTTAACATTCCCCAGAAGAAATAAAGGTGTTAAAATAGCAGCTGGGTAAATACAAGATAATGAAAGAAAGCAGCATGATTTCCCCAGGTTCAAATAAAGCAAACGAGTATTTTGCAGAATTGACCTTATTAAAGAGACATTGTCACTTTAAAAATTAATCTGAAAACAAAACTAGACTAGCAATAAGTGAAGATAAAATTATCTATTAAATGTAAGAATTTCACAAAAATATCAACCTTTTTACTGCCATTTTCACATTTTTCTGTAGTGAAGTGCCAGGTCTACATATATATTTTCCTTTTCTTTACAATTGATTGACTTTGATACAATGTTGAAATTCTCTACCAGAATATTCAGACATTCATTCTTTGTATTAATTATTCTTCATTAGGCTCAGCATGTGTATTCTACTTTATAACAAATTATTACATAATACTGAGGACAGGGAAATGAAGCTGAAACTGCAGCAAATCTTGTTTCACAGAAACATTTTCAGCTCAATCACTACAGAACAACATTCTATGTACATCTTCCCTAAGATGTTTTTCACCAAGTGGGAACTTTTTTTATTAAAAAAACATTTAAAGTTAAATCTTTTAAAGAAAAACTTGATCTTAAACTAAACAACTGAGTGAGCAACAGGTCTTATATGCTAATCCAGTATCTGTATCTCTGATATGCCAAGCCAGAAATACAGCAAGGAGAATAAACAATCTTTTTAAATCTTTCTAAAGAAAACTATGCAAGCTTCACACTATTATCTATGACACTGTGATTTTTGTTTCAGTTCTATTAAGAGATGTAGCAAAGAACTTTATTATTCAAATTAATTAGACTTCGGTAAAATGCATTCATGAGGAAACTACAGCAGACAACATGAATCATAATATGACACAGCAGAAAACCTGGTGAATACTTACCCCACTGCAAATAGTTGCACAGGTCCGGAAAAATATGGATACTGATTGCATTTAAATCTACGGACACTGAGGACCCTGACAACTTTAAACATTCCAGTAAGTGCTCTTTTAATCTTAAAAGGACTGAAGTTACCTTAAAATAATTTGTTTTGAGTCTATATGGTGCTAGCATTGTGTCCCCTACTGATGCATACCTCTGTTGGGACACACTTCGTGGTCCTTCATGAGGGATCACACCATGAGCAGAAAGCTGGGCTGATGGTGATGCTGAGGAGCTTGTGAACAACTAATAAGCCTCCTGAAAATCCTGAACCAGGAGCCAAGTTGTGCCCAGACACTGCCCTGGGCACAAAAGATACGCTGTGCAGTGAGTGCAGACTGAAAGCAAACATTACTTAGATGTATGTTGAAGAAACGATACAGTTTTAGTCCAGCATGGAGAGTAAATTATACCATTGCCAGTCAGTTTTTACTGTGTGGATTAAATCATCATTGCCCAAGGACAGTTACTTTTGCCTGTTCTTTGCATGTTTTGGTTCCTTGGTCAATACCTTCAAGTTGAGGGGAGACAGAAGCCACAATGGAAATAGGAGTACATTGTCAACTGACAGGGACAAGATGAGAAGTAACAAACTTCCAGGGGAACACAGTTAGTTGTGTGATTAGTTAGAGGGTCCTTGATTTCCAGTACTTTCAATTTCAGTAAAATATATTATACAGTTAGGTAGAAATCAACAGGAAGAGTTGCTAAACAAGTGAGACATTTCTTTGAAGTCCCAGTTCTACAATGAGCATGACATTAGCACCCTTCCCAGATAGTTTTATCCTTCTAATTTGGCTATGTCTGCTAAAAATTAGGAGGTTCAGCGAGACTGTAAGGTAACCCTTTCAGCAAGAATGAAGAAGAATTTGGCCCACGTGGATAATGTTCAAAATCCTGAAGAATTTGGCTTTATATTACTTATTTTATTGAGGACTATGAAGCCAAGTGGGCTTAATTTGAATGGCTTGTCCAGAACACATTCCTTGGGAGACTATGACTGTGAAATATGGATGCTAATGCCTATGGTACACACACAGAACTGCACAGACAAAAGCTAGCCCTACTCTGTCCTCTGAACAACTCAAAGCTGAACATAAGTCAGCTTATTACGTAGCTAGTGCTTCTTTCATGAGGCACAAGGGAGGTTAAGATCTAGAAATTTCTTCAAGTATGTATTTCACGGTAAGAAACTAATTCATAGCGGTGCATGACTTTCCCTGATAGTATAGTTACAACCACTGAGCTTCTTCAAATTTGTGATGAGGTATGTTAACAGTTACAAATCAGACTTCTATCATTAAACATACAGATTATCTTTTAAGGATAATAAATTGATATTGCAATCAATATTCAGATGTTGCATTGTATTATTGTAACTGATTAGAGCTATTGGGCCCACTGTCTTACCTGTGAGCAGTGCTGTCATTTCCCCTCTATAATACAACAGGCCAGATCTATAATATACGAGGCTAGAGTCTGGCCTTGCTAAGAAATCCTAGAAGAGACTCACATACAAGAGAGGGTACTTCAGCTATCAAGCACTCCTTGCAGCTCCAAGCACAGCTCAGTTTTCCTATTGCCTTTTCTTGCACAGGGCCAAATCCCTTGGCCTGATACACCTGATACTCCTCCCTATACACCTCTGACCTACCTCTAAGGTAGGACAGACCCTGCCTTTACTCACCCATGCCCTGGGGACAACGTAGCAGATGAGTTAAAACATGGAGACTGAACTTCCACAACCCTGCTAGACTGTTCTTTCTGTAAGAGTGATGACGTCTATGAAAAGACTGAAGAATGCAATCAAAAAATAATTAGGATTATCAGGCTAATTACTGCATACATTTTCTAATGCTAATAGCAATAGGAAACACTAATTGTTGTTTACTGTGGGCTGAATATTTAAAACTTGCCAAGAGAAGCAGGGGGAAAAAAATATGTTTTTTTCCATTTGGAACAGACACCAACTGCAGACACACATACATAGTAACATTTTAATTTTTAAAAAGAAATTGGCACCCTATTAATACAAAGGCACAGAAACTCCATACATGAAAAATTGCAACATATATGACAACAGTACCCTCAGAGCATAGCATTTAAATACAGTTCAAAAAACAGGCTTGACTATAATGAAATATTAACAAATATATGTGTTTCTTTTAATTAGCCTTTTATTTTCCTGGTTTTAGGGTTCATACTTATAGGCTTCTTTCTGTCAACTAAAAAGTTTTTTAAAATTAACTCTTTTTGAAATGTAAAATGATATTCTCATCAATTTAGAGAAACCCAGGAATAAGAATTTCAAAAATATCACCTAAAATTGGGACAGTTGGCAGCACTGCCATCAAAAAAATTTTTGAAGGTATTACATTCCTATTTACATTTTTTTTTCCCTTTTCTACTGATGTGTGATGATATTGGTTCATCAAGAAAAAGACTTGCAATAGGTTGCAAATATTTACCACAGTTTTGGACTGTAGCCACATTCGTAGTTCAACTGAAATAAGCTTAGAAGCAACAGTGAAAAGCTGAACTTATTATTCCAGGATGTAAGGGTATACATATGTATATGCTAAAGATTTGGACTACCAGTTATGAAGAACACAGACTGCAGAAGTAACATTCAAAGCCTACTAAAAACACATCATTATACAGTAAATTAACTAGAATAACAGAAAATCAGAGAACAGAGGACTTGTGGGTGATCCAGTTTATCTCTTCACGTTATCTGCTATACCACAGTTTATTACAAGAATATATAAATACAAGAATAGTAAATCAGTACTTACTTTATATAATAAATAACCTTTCTATATAAATTATGAAAATACAGCTACAGTAAAATCAGTGCAAAAATGATCAAAATGTACTGAAGGAACACTGAATCCTGCCTGCTAGAATGTGCATCATAAACACCCATATTTCATCTACTGCATCATACACTGAAAAGAATTAAAAAACGCACAATGCACATTGCTGACTGTGCCATTCTAAAATTAGAGCTATTTACAATATCAGACAAATGAGATTAAAGCAACACACATGTTATTTAAACTCCAGACGTCCTTCTTTCTTATTATTTTACTGAATTTTAAATAGCCTCCTCTTCCCTAATTGATACTTTGAATGGAAGTTGCCCTCATGAGTCCGTATTTGCACGAGCAGCCTTTTTGGAATTAAGAAAGTTCTTTTTCTTTTTCCTTGGAGAATTATGCAAAGAAAGTATTGGATCATTTGGCTCACGGAATAAAAACACCTTCTCTCCCGTGTCTAACAGCTCTATGGCTTCGACAGTTGCAGCGTTCAAAGGAACAGGTGGATTAGACTGTTCTATAGGAGACTGTGTAGGCGAACACCCAAGATGAATGAATGATGCTTTTTCCAAGAGGGCAAGATGCTTCTTCGTTATCAAGCTACATTGATGAAAAAAATTGAAGAATGAAAATTTGGGCAAAAAAAGCGTAACTTCCTATATCATATCCTGACATAAAAGTGGTGACTTTGGAAGCTAAAGAAAACCACATCTCAAGAGACAGAATTGTAATTTCCATTCCAATACCCAATAATTTATGTAACATTTTATGACACACGAAATTGCATAAGGAAAGGTAACCTTATAATAAATAACCATAGGGAAGATAGGCAATGTATATGAAAAGGATGTTAATTTTTTGGATATGTATGGAAACAAACTTTTTAGGCATTTATTATTATAGCTTATTATACGTAAATATGTAGGAAACACAAGCACCAAAGAGCAAAACAATTTCAGAAAATGCATGTTTACAAACTTTTCAGATTTCTAATGGATATAAGAGGAACCTCTGGAGAAGAAATTAAGTATAAAAAAAAAAAATTCCCATATGTTTCTTCCTGTTTTCTCCTTACCTGTCTTTTCTCTTGTTTAGAGAAGGGATCTTTTCCAAACTTCTGTTTATCAGATCTTGCCTTACTTTGTTCTCCAGTGCTTGCCATAACTCTTGGTTCTTCCTGAAGGATCAGGAAAGAAAAAAACAACTCCCAGCAGCAAATCCCCAAATATACACACTTTCCTCCTCTTTCTGTTTTTAGCTACCAAACACATGACTAATACCATGAATACAGTCCCTAAGAATGTTCAAGTATTTGTGCTGTGCTGTCACAGATCATTTAAATCATCTAAGCTCACACCTCAAGGCATGGCCTCAAGACAACTCACATCTGACAACTAGAGGGCCCAGTGCCACAAGATCTTTTCTCCCCTTCCCATGTCATGGCAGAGAGTTGGGGGAGAGGGTTTGGGAGCACCTCGGTGCTAGCTGCACAGCTATTCAGCTGGTGTTAATGGGGATAAACTGTAAAGATTAAGGCTCTGGGAGGCTACCTGTCCCTGAGTAAAGGGCAAAAACAGTGGCCTCTTGAGACTTGAGTAATTATTAGAAAGGACAACCTCCTTAGGAGCTACAGACACCTGAAATCTGGTGTACTATGAATACCATAAATACAGAAAGCTGGAAGGAAAATATTTTAATAAACTCCTATTAAAGTCAACAGAAAGGAATTGATTAGAGCAAGATTTATAAATCTATTAAAAACCCTGTTTAATTCATAAAGTTATAAAATTTATCAACTCTATCAAACAATTTATTATAGCTGAACTATTTCACAAGATAAGGTAGCAGTTTTGCAGTATTTTTACTCACAAAAATATTTCAAAAAGGAAACTTATGCACCTGTAATTTTTTTCTATTGTTGTCAATCTGCTTGTCCAGCAAATACATATACACATAAAGCAATAATCTCTTGCAAGGGTCTACCAAAAAATATCACACTGACCTTTTTCTACAGCTGCCAGACTCATCTGCATTATTGTCACTTTCAGCAATACCATCTGAATATTTACTGATGGAATCAAGGACAGAAAGAACATCACTTTGTGAGCTGGAGGGCAGCAATAAGTTCAGGATCCTGTGCAACATCCCCATTGGTACCCTCGTCAGTTTGGCTAAATAACCTGCCAGCCGGAGCTCCTAGGGGATTAATGAGTAGAAGACAGATAAATTTAGCACTGAAAACAAATTTTTAAAAATTGTTATCAAATTTTAATTGCTATAATTAAAGAACTATTCATTAAAGAATTATTCATTATGGAAACAAAAATATTATTGAAAATCATGTTAGTGGTGACAGTTTTGGTGTCAAGTGATCATAGTCCCAATGTTCACTGGTTTTGGGCCATATATATTAGTTGTCCATTTCATTCTGGATATAGGCAATGTAAATTTTGAACAACCAGCTGATCTTAGTGTATGTGCTTAGGGCATGTACTCGATGCCCCTCAGTCTGATAAATTACAGTGCAACCTTATTCTAAGCATGTAAGGTTTAGTTAATTTATGGATTGTACTATTATAAAGAAATCCTTTCAAGACAGCAATGAAGCAATATGACATCCCTTGGTCTGTAAAATTAGGGGAAAAAAAATAGCCTCTGAAACCTAATGACAACATTTACATGTTGCCATGGTTGAGCACTTCATTGTTCAGCCTCTCTTAACAGCAGATTCTGTGAAAAGCTCAGGGGACAGCTTTTAAAATTTGTTAAGAGGTGAAGGATACATCTGTTTTTGTTTTGGTCGTGGTGTTTTTTCCAAATGATCTCTCTTTTTTGGCCCAAAGGGCAGTGGTAAAGCATACTCACGTAGCGTTCAAATATTCTAAGTTCAAATTTAGTTGTTCCCTAGACAATCAACCAGCCCCATTTCCTGCCCCTCTCCAAACACCAAAAACCTGTTGTTATCTTCTGCACTGCTGTCAAAACTACTGTGTTCCCAGGGCTGTTTCCACAGATTTCTCATACGTATTAAATATGTAAAGTCTACAGTATATTAAGAACTACATGGAAAAAAAAAGAGTAGAGCAATTTAAAGCAACTTAAATGCCTCAGAGGATGCCAGAAAAACGCTGTTGTAGTCTATTCAAACCACACATGTATCTCAGGTAGCCAAAGTTAGGTAAAACATGCCAAATGTTCAAAATGACTCACGACAGCTGAGTCACCTCTGCTCTGTTGACCCTCTGATAAGCATGGGGGAGATGACTATAAAGCCCATGCCACATGAAAAACCCACAAGGTCCCACTGTGCAGGAAGACAGCCAATTTCTTTGTCCACAGTGGATTCAAAATGTCACAGCAAATCTTTGAACTCTGTCTCTTTTTCACATGATGAATTTTCACAGGAATGAATGCACCTAGGAGATCCCTGTATTAAGTGAATCATCATTTTTGAAAGAAGCCATTTCACCAAAAGGATGCTCTGTAAAGGACAACTCTTTCTGCTAAATCCATGTAAAAACAAACAAAGCAATCACCCCCAAAAGCAGTCCTAACCCAAATTTAGACAGCCACACAAAATAAAGAAATCAGTCAACTGCCTTCTCCCATAACCCTTCTCCAAGCAAAGAACTTCTCTCCAAAAGGCAGGAAAACTAGCCACTTCCCTAAGTACCCAGGGCTCTTCAGTCTTGTTATAGATTTTACATGGAAAACACTGAGATACTAGAATGAACAAGAAAAAAATCCTCAGACTGATGAGAGATTAGTAAATTGACGTGATATCTAACATGTCTAATGTTTTCAACCTAAACAGGCACCAAAGTCAGGTAAAAGACATGTCTGTTCAGGCTTCTTAGGACAAGAAACTATTTGGTTCTTCTCTGGAGAGGAATGTAAATAAGAGCTTAAATGCTAATACAGAGACCTAAGTTTAATTTTTGTAGTTGTATATAGACTGTGTGCTCTTCTAGTCTTTAAAAACTGTTCTAGAAACTTACCAAAAAATACATTAAGTGAGAATAAAAATGACACATCTCTGTGACCTATTCTACTTTTTTTTTAGCTAAATGGTCTCCAGACATTTAACACTAATTTATACATGGATGATAGAAAGAAACATCACTACTTCAGTACTGCTTTCCCTCTGTAATACTTTCCTCTTTAAAATGTTCTTTTCTCCACTCTGACCCTTGCCTTTCTGCATCAAGTGTGATTTGGACTGAGAGGCAACCCTTAATGCTCTTCTAACACAGCAGAGTTCACGATTAAATAAGCCCATAAGGTGACACAATGCTGTCAACATTACCAAAAGTGGCAGAGGACCCCACCAGCCAGGTGCATCTATCTAGCATGTGTACAGCAAAGGGAGTGCTGATCTGTGAACATGCACCAGCAGCAAGCAGCACTTTCAGATGCTCATGGCTACCCAGACCAGCTTGCAGAAACAGGAAGGAGAAGTGAATGTGCATGCAAACACAGGAATGGTCACACTAGTCAGACCAAAAGCCCTCCAGTGTGGGACAAGTTTGATTCTTCAAGTATATTATATGGTAAGTTACCACAAAGGTTAGGAATTCACTTTTTTTTCATAATATCTAATAGATATAAATGCATCTTGTGGCACCAATAACCTCATTTGTATTCTCTGAATTTGGTCACAATAGGAATGAGTTGTAGATTACAAACAGCAGAATTACTTTTCAGTATCTGGCCTGAGCAATGTGTATTTAAGTAACTAATGCAAGAATCAATAAATTCAATCTATGCTGTGTTTCAAGCTTGCTTTGCTGTTTCCACATGACAGTCTACCTGCATCATCTGTTGTCTCTAAAATGCAATTAGTGTACCTGGGGCTATAGCTACAAGCTTATTCAAAAGTAACTTCTCAGCCAGAGGCTTATGATCCTGAACTCACTATCATTCAAGAAAATCTCTTCTTGACCTAGACCTGACTCCATAAGGATGTAAACTGAAACATGAAATACAGGAAAGTAAAACTTATCTGGCTTTCCAGAGAGGGCTGCATCCATAGTTTTGAAAACTAGTGTAAAGAGGAAAATTCTCTCTAAAGAAAAGGATGAGTGCAAGATACAGAAGTACAAAGGTTATATTATCCTAATACTTGCCAATATAATGAGTTCTATAAATTGTAAGAAAACAGGGGGAAAAAAAAATTTAAAAATCAAGCACATCCAAAAGTAGGAACATGTTACACTGTGGGCCTTAATAAATTAATAAATTACTAGTCTACTATGAACATGCTTATTTACAGTTGAATTAAGAGTAGTCAGGTTTGGAATTCTAGTTGGGAGTTATTATACTACTGTACTTGCTTAGAACAGAAATATTATTTTGTATATCTTAAGGGTAAATACGTGTAGGTTTTACAGAACTTCAATAAAGAATGTCCCAGAATACCTCTGGGCTACACTTTGTATGAATAAATATAAATACAAAAACCTCAATGGTATATCTAATGCGTATTTACACAAATTAATTATTTATTCAGGGAATATTGTGAAAAAACACAAAGCACAGTTCACCAAGTATACACTGAACACCATGTCCAGTTTTCCAAGTGCAGTGAGGTGACAGTGATGCTCTTAAATTTGTCTTTAAGATGTCAAAATCTGCCATTTTCAAGGGTCATTGTTCACCTGCTAGGGTGCTAAGAAGACTGGGTACTGTGAAAATTATGACATATTCTGTTTGCATGTATCTGTAATGTGCAAACCAGTGATTTTAACCTCTCAATTTGCAGAACGCATCCCATGCTGTTCAGCTGCTTTCACAATATATCCATGCCAAAGGAGCCTAACAACCATCAGAGGAAGACAATTAAACTGTCAGAAACTTGAGCAACATTTCTACCTAATCTGTAGAAAAGGAATATCCAGCTTCTCCCCAGTCAAGCAGCATGATTTTTGGGAATGCAGGACAAGGCCTATCAGTATTATCAAACTTTCCAGGACAGAATTGAGCTACAGTAACATGCAAAACCAACACATTTCTGGTTAGTCCTGTCCAGTCTGATGATAAATACGATTAACGCTTCCAAACAAATGGGAGTACTGTCTTTGAACTGAAATGTTAAGAAAAGAGACAAGGTGTCATGGGAGAGGGTTCCCTTTGAAATACTCCACAGCCAGCAGATTGACACTCAGCCACCAGGTTTGTGTCTCTTAAATCTTACAGAGCTGCTTTAGAATTCATCTTAACAAGCCACAAATCTCGAATTCATGCCTTTATGAAAGAGGTAGATGGTGAGGCTCTGTCAGAGACAACCAAACTCAAGGGCAGCAGAAAAACAATTTACAATATCCTTTGCAAGATAAGAACTCTCCTGCTGACTAGCTGGCTGGTTAGATGCATCTTCTTTCCACCCTTCTATCCCCAGGAGTGCACCAAGCTAAGAATCAGTGTATGAGATTAAGGCACTACTAGTGCTCTCTTTTAACAGTTCCCACTTAATGATTACTGGTTTTGCCAGTCCATGAAATTGCTAAATAAACATTGTACAAGGTCCCAGCCATTCCTTCAATTAGTCCCAGATTTCAAGGCTATAGCATATTTAAAAGCACTGAAACTATGAAAATTATCTCAGCAGTGCTAATCTGGAGGAGTCGCTCTGTGTTGTTTAAAGTCTCTATACTGGCCAACATTTCTGGATGCAGAGTATTTTGTCAGATAAATACAGAATGAACTAGGGAAAAAAAAATAGTATATAAAGAATTCCCAAGACTATGATTCACCACAACTAATGACTTAAACCACATTAGTACAGGAAAAGATCAGCAAAGCCCAAAGGACCTTTCAAAGCATTTTCAATTTTTCTATCTGTTCTGATGTTTATTTTCCACTGATGCTGGACTTAAAACTAGAAGGCTGGTGACAATGGTCATGACCTCCTACACTTTGCAAGACAGGCCAGAATGGGGTTTTGGTGCTTACATTATTATGCCCAGAGGATGGGATGCTCTTGAAAGTGTAAGATGAGGTTTGAATTTCCACTCTACCTGATTCAATTCATTATTATAAAGCGAGATCTTCCATTCAAGGACAGCAGCTTAGCCATCAAGCTGCCAGATATTTAGAGGCAAGTCTCTTCCAGCGAAGCTTACAGAAGGACTCTGATCTGCCCAAGTGTTCCCATGAGAGGCAGACAACGAAGTGATTATCACACTCTTGTGAGTTTTGGGAGTTCTTGATGCCAAGTCCTTCCCAAATCAGAGTAAGATCTAAAAACATGTGATACCTTCTGGGTGAATCTCTTAACAGATGTATAATATACAGGAGTCTCACTTCAATTCTTCATGAGAGTAGCTGTTCTCAAATAGACATCTAACTTGGGAGAGGATAAAGAGAAAACTGAGCAGAAACAAGCTGAGGCACAGAAAAATCTGAAAGATCCTTAGTCTAAGTGGTCCCTCCTTGGCTTGCTGGCCTCTGAAGCTCCCAATTTATGATACAGGTGACTGTAACGACTTCCGTCCCTGAGAAGCAAGGTACTTGGATGTGCAAAGCTGCAACACTGAGTCTCTTTTCTGACACTAGCTACATATCTCAACCAAGGCCTGCAGATAAAACTTGGGGACAAGAGTGATTCAATTTTAATGCCTTTTGTAGCACTGATAAGCAGTCAGCAGATAGCAAACTATCTGAAGAAGTGATGCTCATTTTGAAAGCAGTATGAGAAATGATACTGGAAAAGGTAACTAGCATCCCTTCTATCATTTAGTTTTGTAACACAATCGATGCAAATTCTTTCTAACACTGATTAAAGCTTAAACAAAAGCCTTGTCTCATTACATGAAAACCAGACTGTAAATCTGCCTGTAAACCAGAAACTCAGGCAATTTAGTTCTCTTCACAGAATGAAATGCAATAGGACAACCTCTAGTAAGGATTTGTAAGTGATAACTCATAAAATTCAAAATGCTGAAAGTAGGTCAGAATTAACTGAAGTGAATGGTAATATACACTACAAACACCAGAACTGGTAGTGACTGTTAGCAGAACTGGGTCCAAATACATCTATAATTGTTCCCCCAAAAGTAAGAAAAGCTGAATTCTGGATACAGCTGTAATTTAAACTTGGAAGCTTTGTTCAATTTCATGCTTACCTGACTATAAAGTGCAAAAAATGCATCCATTTCTATATTTTCCAGGAGATCTTCAAGCACCGTGCAATTCCACTGCTCATCTCTCAAGCTGAAATGAAAGATAGAATTAACATTGAAATCTTTGCAGGTGCAATGACTGTATTATAGAAAACAATATCTGAAAGTCATTCATTCAGGAAGCATATCTTTCCATCTGCCAAGTTGGGTGAGCAGTGTAACTTCTAAAATAAGCCAATTTCTCTTTTTTTCTCCCCTAAGCCACCAAGCAAACATTAGAGCAGATCTGAGGCTATGTTCTTGCACACAAATCAAATCTGGAATTGCTCCAAAGCAACTAGATTCAACCTCTCCCTGTCCTCTTCTTTAAATTTCATTACTATACTTTATGGCAAATTGTAGATCTTTTTGTTGCTGGAATATAATAGTAAACAGTTAACTTCCTCCCTACTGGTGATTTTTTTGTTTCTGGACCAAATCATGAAGCCATCATTATATCATTTGGGAAAAGTATAAAACTTGTTTCTTCCATTACATTTTCAGGTAAATAGTAAAGACTAGTTGCAGTTTCTTTGAAGGCTTCACTGATGTACCTCTACAGTATTATCCCCAAACCAGTAACCTATCTGCTCTTCTAGTGCCTTTTTACTTCCGCAACAGGAGAGTCATTCATCTACACCGATTAGAGCTCCAGCTCTTTCAGAATTAAAACAGACTTAAGAGTGCAGTAACTCCACTCAAAGCCTGTCAGAGCCATTTTTAATATCTCAATTGTTTCATGGAAAACCCTCTTCGTAATGGAAAGCACACTGTCAGGATCTTACATGAAACTTGAAATGTGGTGGGCTTTTAATACTGTGCAATACACATGAAAATTTTAATTTCTAACTCCTGTAACCCTACGTAATGCAATACCTGGCAGTTTTGCAAATTATCACTCATTTTTGCTAGACAACCTTCATGACAAGAAAGTTACTTCTATATACCTCCCAAGAGGCTTTTTTTTTGGTCACTGATATCTTTACTTAAAAACTGGCCAGGGAAAAGTGAAATTGAGCCTGTCTCTGAAGAAGTGTTTATCTATCCCATCAAAACTGATTGTGTGACAGGGAGTTCAGTCTACAGTGTGACACTAGAGATGGAAATTCAACTTAAATTGCCTCAGCTACTTCCAATGAAAACTACTCCGTTGGGGTCAGAGAAGTCCCTACCTATCTTCTTGGGAAGCACATGAACAGTATTAAAATTATTTTCTGCCTTGCTGCTAAGGAGTCCACTGTCCCCATCAAAAAATGGTGATTGTCATGCAACACATCACAATCTGTATGTAACGAAGTTGTTATTATTTCAAGTCTCTTATTTCAATATTCCCAGGACTCCTCAGTTAAGCTCTGGGCCACATCACAAAAACGCACTGTTCAAACATAGATGTGTACTCTATTTAGCCTACTGTTTCTCTGTGGTATCTTACAGTCTATAAGGGCTGCAGTAACTTAGTAAAACCTAAGACCAAAGCACTTACCTTTGCTGGTGCAGACTTATAAATTGCCTACATTTATTCATGGCCTGTCTTAGCAGAACTGTCACCTGTCTGTCTGTATTTGTTTCTGCAGCTTCACTTGAAAGTCCTAATCCATCTGGAGTCCATCCCTGCCTACTCAGATGCTGCTGCTGCTGCTGAGCTGACTCCTTATGCAACATCTCATACTCCAGCTTCCTATCAAGTTCTTCAATCTCCTAGAGGTTGAAAAAACATAATGATAAAAAGTCATAATTTAACTTGTAAGAACAAATTTCATTTGGAGTGAAAAAAAAAAAGATAGTATCAGAATTTCTGATATTAGTTTATTCATCTCTCATTCCACCCAGCCACTTGCAGTCATTTACACTTTCCAATTCATTGCATTGCTTCAGTAAACATGACTTGCATGCTATGAATATCAGAACAATGCTGAAAGATGAGTCAATTTTCATTGTGTTAAAGGTCAATGCTCTCTGTAGAGGACTTCTAGAAAGTATACTACCAGCATGGCTGAGATCCAGACAAAAGAATGGCATCATTAGAATTCATCTACAAGCTGCATAAAGCCACTGAAACAGGCTGAGAAACCCAGACTCACTAGTTTTAGTTATGCTGAATCAACAGTTAACATCAAAGAGGTCTGCACTTAAATATTCACTTTTAGTGTGATAAAATTAGGGTTAAAATACAATGCATTAAAAATCAAAGTGTTAAAACCCAAAGTCTTAAGTAGACTAGATCCCTCACTAGATCACTCTTTGGTCAAAGAGTTAAACTGGATATCAGAAGGAAGGCTTCACATTCCAGTTTTCCAATGTCATTGTTTGACTTCAAGCTTTAAGTTGCTTAATATCTCAGTGCTCTACTTCTCAACTTGTACCTTGGATAAAATTCTGAATTTTAATCTATTCTACCCCATCAGCTGGATTCAGACTACAGGTTCACTGGAGCACAGCATCTCTAAGTAAGTGCTCCCTGGTCAGCAAGATTTGACATTGGAGTTTAGATCCACTCCCCTAACACCAAAACAGAGTTATTAACTTGTTATCTCTAAGGGGATGAAGCAGATTCACACACATATAGCCAGATGTGTTTGTTTCACTGATCAAAAAAACTATCACTGATGTCAGCAGCATTAGGGAATCCTGTGTAATCTGATATATTTGTTTTAAAGTAACTGGTTTTAAAATTTGTCAGCTAGTAGGACAATGGAGTTGGACAAAAACACAGCAAGAAAGAGAGGTTTGGTCACCAGAAAATTGTCCTTGTGAACCAAGCTTAACGGGCACTTTAAATGATGCCTAAAATATTTTTTCCCCCCAAATAGGGTTCAACTCAGTTCTTGCACACTGGATAAAGAATCCAGCATTAGCTACTCTAGATCTCTCTTCTGTATCTCCTTTAATCCTTTTTCTTCATCTCTTCAAGGACAGAGAAGCTAAAAGCAACCTCTTTGTAGAGCCTCTGTTACACTTACTACATAAAAGGCAATAATTCCTGATTAATTTTTTTTTTTACTCCATCTAAATACACCTTTCATTATTTCCTACAGATTTAATACAAATTTAAGCAAAACTGGAAGCATATAAGCGTTCTAACTGCCATTCTAAGAGAAACTGTAGAGATGACAGCATTAAAGTTTAACTGGGAGTTTTCACAGAAATAGCTGTCTAATGATGCCCTCTAGCAAAGAGGTTTTGGTCTTAAAACCCCATTTTGTTTGTTCTACTCCAGTGCTTTCCCAAGCCTCACTTGGATGGCTGCAAATAGCAAATGTAAAAGAAAAAAAAATCCTTATGAATACAGAGCACTGAAGTATTAAAAAAGGATTAGAAAACTGACACATACCAAGTATGTAATAAATATGATGAAGGGAAGAGGCCTTTCCAAAGTTTCTACTATTTAAACTGCATAAGTGTGCTTGGAGGGAGATAGACAGATAGGGAGCGGGCTGTATATATAATCTTTGAAAACTCCGTGATTGAAGCATATCATGTGGTTATGGATTTTACCATATGGATAGCACCCTAACGTGAACAATTCCGTAACACAGTCATGACAATTTACACACTATCCCAGTCATTACTCACAATCACTTCCCCAGTTGTCTTCCTTATGAACAATAAAACTTCAATATTAATTAGCCACCAAAATACGGCTCTTTTGTACCATAGATCTCTGGATGCTACTATAATAAAAATAAATAGTAGTAAGAATAATAATGATATACAATCTTCCTTGGCTCTAATGTTTTCTCTTTATTTCTTTTCCTAAGTGCATTAAAGTGCACATAATCACAGAAGTTAAAGGCCAGACCACCAGGAGCTGCCAAACAGCATAGCTAAATCCAAGTCATATAAGCTGCTGTGATAGTTGCTGTCTCCTAACAGGAATTTTTCCTTTTCACAAATTCATTACTTACAGGATTATGTGCCTCTAAGATCTGAATACATTCCAATTTTGACAGGGCTTTTGACGTGCTCAGTTGTTCAAAGAGGAAAGCTTGTACACTTATGATCGCAGTATACAGCTCCAGCATTCTGGACTTTTTAAGAGTCTTCTGAAAGGCTAAAGAAGCAATATATTCTCCAAGTTTATTTTCCAGATTGTGCAGCTGATGCTCTTTCTCAAGCAGTAACTCGTACTTAACCTAAAAAAATACCAAAACACAAAAGATAATAGATTAACAGAAAACCTTACATGTATGCTCATTATTTTACTACTCTGTAATTAACAGGCAGCATTAAAGAAGCAAAGAAATCAATGCTGTTATCGCAGGATGTAATATATTGTTTTTAAAAGTGCCTTTAACATTGAATTACAAGCTTTTACTGTGTTTAAGTGATCAAAAAATATTACAGTAAGGTCAGATATTTCAAAGAGATCAGGCTTTGTTTCAGGGTAGTAAAAACTTTTAATATTAAATATTAACCTAAATAAGAGGGTCTACAGAATTTTTAATATAAGTAAAAATTGAAAATATAAACAAGCCTATGCAGCACATGCAAGCACACAATCAGATGCAATGTGATTGATGATTTCTCCATGCTATACCACTGACATTCACAGCCAATGATATTGCCACTGTGACCATTTTTCTGCAGGACAATGGGGATAGTAGCCAGCTGCAACCACCTTCTTCAGATGCTTGCATCTGAGCTTGGCACTCTAAGGTTCCTTTACAGTCAAAGAAAAGGGAAAAGTACTTCTTCATGTTTCATAACCTAAAAAATGTTTTTCCATTGATGTGTAAGTGTGGATGTCTAGGTTAGACATTGATGGCTACACTGCATATCTAACATTTGGGTAGTTGAATCCTCAAAGACAGTAAATAATTATGAGTTTGGCTTTATTCTCTCTCCCTATTATCCACACAGGCCCAGTAGTTGGATTGTAAGAGAGAAAACACAGAGAGAAAGCACATGCAATTACGAGGGCTCCAGCTCCACTGCTTGGTGTTGGTATCAACTGCTGCTTACTCACTGGATTTAGAATAAAGCTAAGCACAGAAACATGTCCATCTGCATGCTGTTGGCTATCAGAGTGCAGGGTTTTTCCTCACTCCATCTAAATTCTCTTTTGGTCCTGACAAATCTAATCCATTAGGTTCCACAACATCCCTGCCCCCCCAATTCAAAAATTTTTCAGAAATCAGCATTTTCAGAAGTTTCCAGTACTATGTATTTTAAAAGCAGTGCTCAAGTTACTACTGCCTGTGACAGAAGAACCACAGCCATCAAAGGAGGCATCTCAAAAACTTTTAAATAAGTTTTGGTTGTTTACTATCACCGTGGCACCTGAAAGGAGGCAGTCACATTTGCATTCTATAGAAAAGTATTTATTCCATCAAGTTTGGCCTCTCTCACAGAACATCCTTATTTAATTGAGATACCTACATGTTTAGTATCTCAGCACAGTAGGCATCCTGTGGTGTACCTTTATACAAGCACTCATAATCTCTCTACAGTTTTACCAGTCTATAAAAAAGAATAATAAAGACTAGCAGTATTTGCCCTGCAAGCATAAAATACAACACTGTAAAGGTCAACTGTAGTCTTTAAACACTGTACGACTTCCCACTGGCATAAGACCTGATTGTGTCCTTCAGAATACCTTTGCACAAATAGAGATAGTATGTACTCTGGACATTAAATCATTAGCTCTCTGTTCATGCCAATCAAAATTAAACTTTAGCAACTCTAATCATAATTAGCTTTAAAGGATCATTTAAAAGACTTCCACCAAGTTTTTAGATCCCTAAACTGAAAAATATGCAACATGAGGGCCACGAAATTTCACTGGAAACTTTATTGATAAGGGACCTGCTAAGAGTGACTATGTATCATACAAATTCTATTATCCAGGGGATAGAACTAAATTTAAAATGTGATTTGAAACCACAAATGCTTGTGAGACTCTTATTCATGCTCATCTGATAGTCTCCAAAGTCTCCACTGCATTCAAGGATATTCCAGATGACGTAAGAGATGGAAGGTTACCTTCAGGAAATATTCCCTACTAACATAAATTAAGCCAATTACAACACAAAAGACATCATCCTACAAGACACAAAGTAGAGTCAAGATTCACTTTCTTGACATCTTTAACAAATCTCCATCTTAAAAAACAGACATTGTCTGCCTAGCATTACTGTTAATCTAATGAATTGATCTTGAATAATAAGTGTAATACTAAACAGTAAATAAGCATATGGATTACAAATAAACACATGAGATATTTCAGTTAGGAGAAGAATTCAACTCAGAGACCTTACTGGAAATATAGTAACCAAAATGCTAAAATTAATCTGTTATTTTTGAACATGAAAGGCAGACATCTCCGGTGACAAGTAAAAGAGATGGCCAAAACTGGGTGTTTATGGGAAAAAAGCTGAGCTGCCTTCCAGTACTCGTTCAAAAAAAAGTAGAGGATAATTTACTTTACGATAGATCCACAAATACCAACTGGTAGTTTCTATGTTTGTTTTCAGTAGGAAAAAAAAAAAATCAATAATAATAATAGTTTTTTGTATCTATCCTCTGTGTTCTTTGCAGGCTGGCAAGAAACCTATTAAAGTGAATTTAAGGCATATTGTTTACTGTAGAATGCTTTTTACTGAAAAGCAAGTAACTTTAGCATCTCCCATTTAAGCCCACAGTCCAGCAGTTCACAGGCATCTATCTGAAGGTGTAGACTGTACTCTAGCAACACTGATCAGAAATCAAAGACAAACTTCTGCAGAAAATCCTACAAGTCACAACTTTGATATAGATTATACAATACACCCAATCCCACCCTAACTCAGGGGGTTTTATTAAAGTTTGTTTGGCTTGGCTTATTTGTTTTGCCAAAGCAAATCTATTTTCAAAATCCAAAGTGTTATTTCAAGATATTATTATGAGCCAGGGTCCTAAGGCAAAGGCCTAGAATCAAGACTATTCTACACCTCAGAGTCAAGGCAAATATTTAAAACAAAAATAATTTAAAATAATCTTTCTTCAAAAGCCTGTGAACAAGGCTCATTTCTCCAAAAAGACTCAGTTTTTTGTTTGTTTGTTTGTTTGTTTTTCTGAAAGGCACACGAAATTAATTGTTACATTACTGATCACTGCCACAAGAAAATGATCTCAAGAGTAAAAAGCAATTGTCAGAGCCATATTGCCTGACCAATTTTTTTTAAGGGCTCAGTTGTGAAGTTTTCATTGAATTGTCCTCACCCTTCTTTTCAGCAGTGAAAGTTGTTGCATTCTTAGATGACTCTTAAAAGAGAGGATGGAATGGAAGTGAGTCCTTAACAATAAAACATCAAAGGAAGGCAAGGAATTTATATTCAATTCAGCCAGCCACTTCATACTTTGCTTACAACAGCTGCCATCTAGCAAGGTGTTCAGGAAGATACATTGCTATAGCAGACACCACTTTAAGGGGCAATTCGTGTTAGAAATGAACCAGTTTGGAAAACAAATGCTACAAGTCACTTTTAAAAACTTCTGACAAGGTCGAGTTTTGAGTTTACTTAAAAACAGGAACATTAATCTAGATGAGAATAACCAATGTTTTTGTTGTAAGAGACTAAATGACATGATTTTCATTACAATAGCACCAATTAAAGGAACAGGAAAAAAAATTCAAGCAGTCCTACATGACTAGAAGTAAACAGGTCCATTTTCAAACAAACTAATGCTTTAGAGTCTACGTGATGGCCCCTAATCAATGTATTAGGGCAGCTTCTTAACTAACAGAAATTATTTATATCAACATACATACACTGAGGAGCTGGTCCTTCTTTTTTTCCAGATTTTATTTACAAGTCTAAAGATAATGACTGCCAGAATATACACATTTTTACAATCTCAAAAGAGGGGAAAACATATGCTTGAGGTATGATTTGTTTTATATGGCACAAAATTAGTAAGTAACACCTGAAGGCTGCCTTTGTATTTTAGGAAAAGGGTGTGCTATAAACCTTTAAAAATGCAGATTAAAAAAAAAATTATACAGAAATGTTTTGACAGGTTTGTGCACACAACTGAATTTAAAGTTTGTTTCTTTCTTCACAGAAGGCTCAGTTTCAGGCCCAAGGATTTTACATGAATTATACACATATGAAATCTGGGGATGGATAAATAATAGATGAATGAGTAAATGAGTGATCACCTTTAGTGTAAGTCTGAAGCCATTAAAATGAATAATGAATAAGGATGGAAATGCAGTTTGACAACTCAAGTTCTTATAAGGAGACACAAGAATGTATATTTTAATTGTAGCTGAATTAAAAGGCAAAAGAGATGACACTGATGACAGAAAGACATACTTTTGTCAACCACTTCAAATAACAGGAGGTTTATTCAATAGGTTCACTATATTCTATGAATCATGATTTATGGTCCAAACTGTAAAACTAGACACTATTTGCATATTACTAAGTACAAAGCCATATGTTAAGCATGCCCAAATACAGGTGAATGATGTTCAGCTTTATCATTCAGCATCTATTCAACATTATACAGTAAATTAACTGTTCTTAACCAAAAAAAAAAAAATTGCATTACTCAACTAGTACTACTATCGACCCCTAGCCACCTGAGTTTCTTTCTGCTTCTTGTCAGCTCCGGAATCACAGCTCTGCAAAAAGAAATGCATTTGTGAAAATCAAAGCTTGTAAGCAGACCTGACTTCAATATGACATAAAAAGTGACTTCAAGTAGAAGGTGTATCAAATAATGACTACAAATTAAATTATAAACTAGTTATAATACTGCTTAACATTGCACTGTTTGACAAAACACTATTAGAGTGTCAAACTACTTTAGTTATGATGAATCAGCTCCTGTAGGTCTGAACGTTTGCTGCTGATTCCACCTGAAACATTCAAACTACACAAAAAACTGCCACTGCTGTAAGTGCACTATGATAGTCCATTGCTTGAAAGCACTGACTTCTAAATTCCATATTTTGTTCTGACTAATTGCTAACTAGCCTTGTATCAGTCCTAAATATTACAAATAAAGGGAATAATCTGAAAATGTACTTGATTACCTGCAATCTCAAAGACATTTCTCTTACAAGTCTTGTTACTGTTTTTTTTAAGCCCTGCAGGGAGCACAGACTAAAGAACGTCAGTATTTTTACCACTGTATTTACTCTGAGGTAGGTAACTGCTATTTCAGAAAGAAACAGCAACAGACAGTTCAAAACAGCTCTAAAACACAAAAATAGTAGATATAAGTCTGCTTTTGAAGATTTTCAGACCAAGGTCAATGAAACTCTCAGGTGCTTCAAGACTAAACTTCAAACTACTTGCCATGTCCTCGCAACTCACTACCTCCTGTCTCTGTGGTGGTCCCTGTCATGCCTGCTTTACAGAATTACAAAACACATCTCGCTGCTGCTTTCATAAGCATTAGCTGGAAACCATTTTACAGCCACCCTGTAGCAAGACAGAACCCATGACACCATGTGACATCCGCAGGAGAGCAGCAGCAGTGAAGGCAGGAGAAATACAGCAGAGCTTCCATGCCTTGAATTGGCTGTGCAACTTCAGATGGTAATTTTGAGTCAGACGATAGAAGTGTTCATATTAATGCAAAATTCAGAAGTGTAAGATTCTAAATTAGGAATGAGGTAACAGATTGCAACAGGCAAAAGAAACAAACTCTTTCTGTGATCAACATAAGGTTTATTGCCATATTTCTGTCTTCTAATGATAATGTGAGAACTAACAATTTTCCTTAACAATAATTTAGCTTCCTTAGCCCAAAGCATTTGGCTTTTTATAATTAATGTGCAGCCATACAATCAGAACAACAGGTATGCCATATGGTGCATATAAACTGAAACAATGAGGCTTAGAGAAGCTAACTTTCCAAGTTAGTTAAAACAAGACTCTAACAAAAATATAAGGCAATATCCACATCAAACAAGTATTCAGTACTTTTTGTAACATTAAGAGCTGAGCCCATACTCCATTGTACTTTCAAGTAACAGTAAAAAACCCAAATATTCTAAATTTTGTGGATTGGGGCATTAGGTATTGAAACCACAAGTATAAAAGCCTCCAGTAAAGTATTAGAGGCATTCTTAGACGAGAGTTATTAAATTATTAAAGAGTGCTCAAACACACTTGCCCAATTCTAACATTCCTGTCCAAGCATATGCTCTCCCTTTGAAATCTTTCAAAGATTTCAGAGTGAGAGCTCTGAACTTCTTTCTCCAAGTGATAGAGAAGCCAATGAGAAGAGCTGCTATGCTGGACCTTGTTCTCACCAACAAGGAAGGCTGGTGGGGAATGTGAAGCTCAAGGGCTGCCTTGGCTGCCGTGACCAGGAAATGGTGGAGTTCGAGACCCTTAGAGCCATGAGAAGGGCACACAGCAAGCTCACACCTGGACCTCAGGAGAGCAGACTTTGGCCTCTTCAGGGATCTGCTTGGCAGAGTACCATGGGATAAAGCTCTGGAGGGAAGAGTGGCTCAAGAAAGCTGGTTCACGTTTAAGGATCACCTCCTCCAAGTCAGGAGAGATGTATCCCAACAAAGAGAAAGTCAGGTAAGAACACCAGGAGGCCTGCATGGATGAACAAGGAGCTCCTGGGAAAAGCTCAAACACAAACAAGAGGCCTACAGAGAGTGGAAGCAAGGGCAGGCAGCCTGGGAGGAATACAGAGAAACTGTCCAGGGATCAGGTTAGGAAAGCCAAAGCCCTGATAGGATTAAATCTAGCCAGGGACATCAAGGGCAACAAGAAAAGCTTCTATAGGCAGAAGACTAGAGAAAATGTGGGCCCTCTTCAGCAGAAAATGCATGACTTCATTACCTGGGATATGGCTAAGTCACTGTCCATCGTATTTGAGAAGTCGTGGCAGTCCAGTGAAGTTCCTGCTGACTGGAAAACAGGAAACATAACCCTAATTTTTTAAAAAGGAAAAAAGGAAGACCCAGGGAACCACAGGCCAGTCAGTCTCACCTCTGTGCCTGGCAAGATCATGGAGTAAATCCTCCTGAAAACTATGCTGGGACACATGGAAAATGAGGAGGTCACTGGTGACAGCCAGCGTGGCTTCATTAAGGGCAAATTGTGCCTGAATTTGCTGGACTTCTAAGACAGGGTTACAGCACTGGTGGATAAAGGTAGAGCAACTCACCTCATCTACCTGGACTTCTGCAAAGCATCTGACACTGTCCTGCACAACATCCTTGTCTCTGAATTGGAGAGACACAGATTTGATGGGTGGACCACTCAATGGATAAGGAACTGGCTGAATGGTCACACTCAAAGAGTTCCACTGAACAGCTCGATGTTAGAGTGGAGAGCAGTGACGAGTGGCATTCATGAGGGGTCGGTACTGGGACTGTGCTGTTTAACATCTTTGTTGGTGACATGGACAGTGGGAGCAAGTTTGCTGATGACACCAAGCTGTGTGGTGCAGTCAACATGCCGGAGGGATGTGCCATCCAGAGGGACCTTGATAGGCTTGAGAAGTGGACCTGTGCAAACCTCATGAAGTTCAACAAGGCCAAGTGCAAGGTCCTGCACATAAGCCAAGGCAATCCCAAACACAAATACAGGCTGGGCAATGAATGGATTGAGAGCAGCCCCAAGGAGAAGGACTTGAGGGTGTTAGTGGATGGAAAACTGTGAGCCAGCAATGTGTGCTCACAGCCCAGAAAGCCAACTGTGCCCTGGGCTGCATCAAGAGAAGTGTGGCCAGCAGGTTGAGGGACAGGATTCCCCCCCTCTATTCCACTCTCCACCTGGAATACTGTGTTCAGCTCTGGGACCCCCAGCATAAGAAGGACATAGTTGGAGAGGGACCAGAGGAGGGTCACAAAGATGATCAGGGGTCTGGAGCACCTCCCTTATGGGGACAGGCTAAGAGAGTTGGGGTTGTTCAGCCTGGAGAAGAGAAGGCTCTGGGGAGACCTTAGAGTGGCCTTCCAGTACTTAAAGGGGGCTACAGGAAAGATGGGGAGGGACTCTTGATTAGGGAGTATAGTGGTAAGACAAGGGGTAATGGTTTTAAACTGAAAGAGGGCAGATTTAGATTAGATGTGAGGAAGAAAATCTTTACTGTGAGGGTACTGAGACACTGGCACAGGCTGCCCAGAGAAGCTGTGGCTGTCCCCTCCCTGGCAGTGTTCAAGGCCAGGTTGGACGGGGCTTTGAGCAACCTGGTCTAGTGGAAGGTGTCCCTGCCTGTGGCAGGGGGTTGGAACTAGGTGATCTTTAAGGTCCCTTCTAACCCAAACCATTCTGTGATTGTGTGCTCAACTACATAAAACTGGTTTTACCATCTGCAACCTGTCATTTGTTAAACTATATTTTATCTACCAATTTTAACTAACAGTGGTGCTTGTTTGTTTCATATAATTCCTAGAGCCATGCACCACTTATGTCTAACACAGTTATCAGTGTACTGTTCCTCTGATATACAAAAGTAGTATTACCCATATTTCACAAGTGGAAAGAGAAGAAGAGAAAGGTCAAAGAACACAAATAAGACCTCAGGGAACATCTGCTGACAGAGAAGGAAAAAGCCTCCAAAATTTCTTATTGACATTGGCCCCACTCAGTCCTTAAGGATTAACTTTAGACTGGGGCTGTGAGCCTTTTAAACGATACCCACTAGAATCAAAGTACCCTTTCAATATGCTCTATGCAAATAAATTCAGCCCCTACCCAAAAAGTTTTTGGATCTAAGAACCCATTTCTGGGTTTTCAGTAGCATTAGGAAAGTTCAAGGAAATAAATCTTGCTCAACTGAATTATGCAGTGAAGCACCTTCCATGTTTTGCAAGCCTTATTAAGAAAACTACAGGATCTAGGGGAGTCTTGAAATCCTGCACGTCAAGCCCCAGAACCACCAGAAGAAAAAAGGGGGAGACATGAAAGAAAAAAGTAAAACAAAGCCAAAACTATTAAGCCTGAAATACAACATCTTGACAATATGCCTTTTTAATCTGGTTCTTATTTACATTATTAGAAAACAATAATTCTTTAATTAGTCAAGGTCTAGGTTTTGACCTCAATACAGAAAAAATCTTAACTTACCTTATTAAAATTTTCCTCGTTCACCGAGTCTTCATAAATGAAAATTTTGTCCTGTAAAGATTTCTTCAGAATATCTATCTTATTTCTATTCCTGGATCCTGTTTTTTTCATTTTAGAGTGTTGCTGTAAGAATATGAGCACAAAATACTTAATTTCTAAGAGGCATATGAGGATGCTAACATTATTACTTGCTATTATTGGAAGATCACCAATTAATGAAACATTTCACAAGGACAACTTTCACTGAGAAAATATTTCTGAAATGAAGGTGCTGCCTATTCATTCAGAAGATTCCTTTCAGACGTTAAAAGTTGAAAGAAATTAAAGAAGAATTTTGCAAGTAGAATTATATATTCATCCTTTCCATGAAAACTGCTAGCAAATAAATGTGATTTTAAACAAGCTTTTGTAGTGATAAGAGAAGATTTTAACTGATACATTGTCTCCTCAGCATGGTTAAAAATGAACAAAGAATATTAATTTAAGAACTACATTGTTTTCAAGACACAGTATATGAATCACAAATGAACCATGGCAGTATTAAGGGGCACCGTTCCATGTAATCAAATTATTCTTGACCTTTATATTTCTTTAAAAGAATATCAACTAAGTATAATGTACTCTTGGGGAAATGATAACATCTGTTCAGCTATAAGGCTTTGCAAAGTCATTTCCCTTCTTCAGTACTTTAGCAATTATTAAGTTTTTGAACTAAGCTAATCCCTAGTACAATTAAGCCAAGTTAAGTTTACACATTTAGAAAACATAACTGAACAAAAACAAAGCAAGGGAAAGTCCTCCTTTTTATGATGGTATTAGATAAAATTTGTACAAGAAACACTTTTTGTCCCCCCCTCCTATTTAAAAACTATAAATAATTTAATATTCCACGTTTTACATAAAAAAAAAAAAAAAAAAAAAGCTAGATTTGAGAGACAGATGGGTATGTTTCTCTAACTTTGAGTGAGTATGACTTATCTTCTATATATTTAGATTTGAAAAAAAATGAAACCCAACCCTCTGTATATGCCCGATTCTTTTGGAAACAAGAAACAGAAATTAAGCCCAAATTCTTGCCAAGAAAGACCAGCTAATTCAGGAACCTTGCTTTCCTAAATGGACAAGACAACGTAGAACATTCCCCTACAGAAGCTCCTAAATCTCTTTTTGATTTAGTGTCAAATAGAGCAATGTGTAGGGGCTGCCAGAAGAACCTCAGTCTGGGCTGTAAAGGACTCAACTCATCCCTAATATTCAGAGCCAGGCTCAGCACCACTCAAATTTTTGGCCTTTTAGTGGACTCTCCTCAGAGGTGCAGCCCCTTCTGGCCACCTATCTGCTTCTTTGTAACTATGTCTTCTTGGGAAAGCTGGAGGACATGCAAGCAGCAGAAATACGCAGGTGTATGCGAAAAAAAGCCATACTTAGCCAACTGGTACCCAAAGAATTATCTTTAGGGTGCACTGATCAACAATGACAGGAGAAGTATGCACTGCTGTCACACCTATGAAGAAGCCATGAACCCATCCATATCTGCAGCCAAGGCTGACAACCATTGGATACACCTCTGAACCTCTTGCACATCCTCACATCGATCTCACACTGTTCCCACCTGTTTATTGATCATTGTTAAATTCTGATCAACTTTCAGCATTTCTGCCTCCCTCTGCTCCACCTCGAAAGCCTGAAGCAAGGTTCTGGATCTTATCTTGGGCCAAGCCAAGCTGCTGTCCAGCTGAGAGAAGCAGCAGTGCAACTCTTGCCTCATTCTAAGCAATTCCTCTTCCGATAGTGAGAGGGGTAAACTCAGAACTTGCCTGTTAAAAAAACAAAAGCCATTTGCTGTTCAGTGATACAGGAAATATTGCATAAAATGTAAGAGATACACACAAATACTTTACATGACAATGATGATCCTTTTTTTTTTTTTTTTATTATTCATGCATCAGTTAATAATTCCACACATAGGAGTGAGCTGCTAAGAATGTTCAAAATATCCTTGAGGATACTTTAAGTTCTGCATACAGAACTTCCTACATTGTAAAACTTCATTTTCAAGGGGAAACAGTTTTTGAATATTTTAAAAAGTAAAAATAAAAATAATTTTAGCACATTTCTCATTCTCAGAATCCTTCCACCTCTTCAGACAATACAAAGCCTGAACTTCAGGCTGAAATTGAGATAAAAGCTTCCCAAAAAGCCTCCCCGTGCTGCTCCCCAGTACCTAGTAGTCACAGCTACTGAAAGGCAAACTAAAATAAAATTAAAAAGTATCTCTTTATAATAAACTCATATATATCATCCCTCTCATCACCAAGTCACAAGGGTTCAAGCTGTTTTTTGTAAAAAAGCTTTTAGCAGTCTGAGCAACAGTGAATATATTTTATCATCAATTTGAATCACTCAAAGTTCCCATTTTGTAGAAGGAAGGTTCTCAACATAGAAGTCTGGGGAACTGATCCTCAGGTCAATGTGAAGCTGACTTAAAAATAAAACATGCTAAAGCCTAAATTCATCTTCCAGCTGTGACTAACCTTAGATTATATTCATCATCTTCTGACAGAAAAGTTTCCTTAAAAGTATTTCATTAAAAAAAAATAATTTTTGTTTTTTGCTTGGAAATTGTCTCTATTTCCCAAAAAATGTATTTGTATTTAAAGCTTGAACAGCATATTTTTAAAAGAGTAGTTTTCTTTTAAAAATATATTATACTGTATGTTCCATTAGGACTGATGCTTTTATTCAATATATCACAGGCCACATCATTTCATTAGACTACTTCTGAGTTTAGAAATCCTTATTTCTGTTTACTGATTCAAAGTACAGCTAAATCCTGAATTAAAACTTTATTAATATGCAAATTTTTTCTCTTCAAAAAATTAAAGGCAACAGTACTCCAAGCAAGCATTTACAGTATACTTAACTGCTTCCCATCTTGTCTTAGACTTTCAGAAGAAAATCCATATCCTATGTCTATATAGACAGATATATAGACATAAAAAAATACAGCATATCACAGTTTTTTGTCCTGTTGTTTAAAAAGGACTTTAAGCATTAATAATCTTCATAATCTTAAAAAGGACTTTAAGCATTAATAATCTTCATAAATATTTTGGATTAACTCATGGTCCCTTTGATAAGCAACAAAAATGAAAAGCTATCATTCAGAATAGTTCTTTGTGAAAACTAGATATTGGATGAGAACATAAACATGAGAGCTGGCATCTGTCATCAAAATATCCAAAGTGACATACAGTGGACTGAACATAAAGACAGTGACAGATTTTGAGGCTTTTGACAGGACAGTTGTGCAAATGCTTCGTTTTTTGTATGTATTTTCCAGTATGTTACCAGAAAAAACAAACAGCTTATTGTTGCTGTAAATAAAGACAGTGTTTAACAAATACAACAGGAGACACTGCAGGCTGGAACAAAATTATTATGAAATCATGAAAGACCTGCTGGGTCATACAATCTACTTCCCTGCTTGTGTAGGTCTGCACTCAGCAATGTAAGAGACAGTAAGACAATGAAATGGCTAATAGAAAAGTATTTAAAATGCTGAATAAAATACAAAGGCCTTAAAATTAGAATAAAACCAAGATAAATGGATTATTTTTTTTCTTTAACAAAGCCAACATGCAATAGGCAAGGTTTCTTTTCAGATTTCTTTTATATGGTTTGACACCATGCATCAGGTAAACTTACAAAGATGCTGTCTGGACAAAACTGCCCAGGTACATCTATTTTGCTGTAAGGAAGAGGTATGAAGAAGAAACCTTAACTAATGGTTGGAGTTTTTTTCCCCCCTTCTGTTCAATTTCTCATGCCTTCTACCTTTGCTGCAGGGGCAGACAGCCCAATACAGGTTTGCCTGTTCCAGCTGCTTCCCCTAAAGCTGCAATTTTGACAGCAGACAATTTTATGTTCCCATGTCTCTAACAATGTCTGTTATTAAATGGACACTATAGGAATAGGAAACATAGTAGTGTAAATATTCAGATAATACAAATAGTTATAAATGCACTTGAAAGCTAAGAAGTAGTGCTAATGAACAGAGCAAATCTCTCAGGGACCTTGCTGTCCAGTCTGAGAGGCACCACACATGCCAACTCTCAGCTGCAGTCATGGCCTCCCCCTGAGCAAGGTTTCTCAATGGTGACACTTGCCTTCCCACCTCCCCAGAGTCACATTGTAGCAGGCAGCGATGGCCATAAGGTGCAGCGATGGCCATAAGGTGCACCCAGGGCCAGCAAACCTCTCTGTAAAATAGCCCGTGACATGACACCTCTCTGGCTGGGGGCTCGGTGCCAGGGGCACTTTGTCAGCAGGCCAGATTGGCCAAATCTGATGTGCAGAGCCCATGAGCTGGAGAGGTACACTGCTGTGATGTGCATTGATGAAATATGGGGAAATACTGTGGCAGAGCTTAAAATGAGCATCCGATGAGTAAGGCTTGACTTGTGGCTGGAACGAATATATTGAAATTGAATTCAGGGCTAATTATGGCTGACATACTAAATGACATTTCCAAATTGCTGGACCTCTGAGCACAGACTGAAAGTAATAATGAAAGATGCACAAGTGAAACCTGACTGGGTCTGAACAGAAGTAAAGAAACACTTCACCTTTTTGGTTTCAAAACCACCATTTCCCAGGATTTCTACTGCCACACTAGGAGTGCCGGCTCACCCATCGGCACTGCAGGAGCTGAGTGCTTGTGAAAAATTAACTCCCAAGTGCATGATTGGGAACTTATAATTAGGAATTATACCAGACAAGAGTGAAAACTCCTAATTAATCTGTATTTGCAAAAATAACTAAGAAAAGGTACACAGATATACTTGCATGAATACGGATTGTTCCCAGCTCCTTAATTTCTTTTGTTCCAAAAGGTTCGTTTCCAGTTCTTGGCTCAGCTTCTGCCTAGTAAGCTGAAGCAGCTCTTCAGCGGCCATACTCTTCTCACACTCTTCCCTTTCAAGCTGTTCATGTTTAACAATCATCTCTTTTTTATGTTCCTCCACAGCTTCCAGCAGGAGCGTCTTTGGCACACTAAGCTTTACCAGTTCTTGCACAAATACTCCACACTGAACACGTTTAAGTTCTTCAACAGTTTTCTCTGTTAGACTAAATAGAAGCTCTTTCAGCTCTTCGCTGGCCTCATTGTCAAGCTTTTCAGTAAGTTCTTCAAATTCAATGGTGTGCTCACTCAGAAGATCTTTCCAGTGGCTCAGGTAGTGAGTGACCTCCTTAGAAGTTTTGAAGGGGTCTCCAAGTGACAACTGCTCCTTCCAATGCTCTTTCTGCTGATTCATTTGGCAAAAGAAGGAACAAGGTTAAGAGAAGGAACTTCTCAAATTCTAGCTCTTTAGATATGTATTTCATATCAATGCAAGATTTCATACTTTTATTTTTCAGTGTTCTCAAAACTGCTTTTCAGTGTCCAGAGACTTACCTAGCCCTCAACATGAAGGCTTTGTGTGCATCTAGCAGGCCTGTGATAATTCAGATTATTGTTAGATAGGAGGGCTAACACAGGCCTGTGATAATTTGTGTTGTTGCTAGAGAGAAGGGCTAACATCTAAATAAATGCATGATCTTGTCGTTTGACATAATCCCAAGTGGCTGAACTGTAATGATCTGTCAGCATTCCAGAAGTGAATCTGGATCAAATACCAAGGAAGAGAGAGAGGGGAAAAAAAAAGGTTAGGTGATTTTTATTTTTTTTTTTTATTTTCCCCATCTTACAGCATGCAGAAATTTCATTGGAAAGCTAAACCAAAGCTACCTATACTGAGAATACATACAACAAATGAAGCCTCCATCATTATACCTGCTGTCTCTCCTTGCACTGATATCTGCTAAACAGCAGAAAACACTGAAACAGATATCCTGCATCAGGTAAAATTAGTCTCACCTAACTTCAGTCATTTAAAGAAGTATCACCTAATCCAAGATAGTTTTTTCTACATTCTTTAGGGAGAGAAAGATAGGGACCTTTGGATAATAACTCCCTTTCCTTTATTTTGGATTGCCTGCAAGTCATCTTCCATTATGAGATGATTTGGAGCTCTTAGAGTTAGCCTTAATTTTTAGATGGCTGAGGTTAGATGACATGAGTCCTACCACAAGTAGCCACAGGTACAGCACCTCTTAAATAGTTTTGGTTTGTAGCTGAATTTTAACCATGCTGTAGAGGTCACTCAAGTCACATATCCAGGAAACCCATAGAAAATGTCAACTGTCACAAATCTGTGTCATCTCCCTCACCAGCTCTAGAATGTCAGTTGGCTTTTGCTCGTCTGCATATTACAGAGGCTTGTCATAACCCCCTTGGACAGGTTAGACTAAGTTTCCCCAGTTATATTACTTTTTTCTAAAGCAGGTTTTTCTAAAAGAACAGCTATTAATTACTCCATAATTAATAAAGCACATGGCAGTACACAGTTAAAAACAACAAATGCTTATTTTTATCCATACTCCTGGCAGCACTGACCCATCCCAAGAACCACACTTTATTTTTCAATTCACTCCACCTTTAAGTCATGTGAAAATAAATATACTGAAAATAATTACCTTTTGTAGCATTTCCCGCCTTCGCTTGGTAATGAGTTTCTGGCGAAGCTTTTGCTTTTCTTGTTTGAAATCATGATCGAATTTCTGTTTAACAGAATTAATTTCAGCCTCAGCTCGGTCCATGAGCACTCCCAAATGACTTTCAGGTAGATGACCTGCTCTGTAATAACAGTGTTTGAAGTCTGTTATCCTGAATTCTTAAGAGCAAAAGGATATTGGAGGCAATTAGTACCATAAGGCTCAAAGTAGACACAGGGAATGATCTTTGTTTCTTTTCAGTGATACTTGGGGGGGATCAAACAAGTCAGTGGATAACAGAAAGATAATCTCAGAGATGAGTGTAGAATTGAGGCGGCTTGTGAAGGTAGAGTGGAGGCGTATAAAGAAGGAACGGGAAGAAGGAAGGAAGGGAAGACAAATGAAAAACCAATTACATATCAGTCAGAAATGTAAATGATATTCAAATGAGACATTTAAAACCTTATATATTATTCATAATATTTACATTTTTCATTTAATGCTCCTGGAATGCAATTCTGGATGTCTTTTACAACTCCTCCTCATTAGAAACAATTTTCTCTTTAAAGGATGTAATATAATCAAGTTAAAACTATTAAAAATTATTTTAAAGATACAAAGCAATCATATCCATGGAAAGATTTATATTCAGATTTCCTATTACATTTACATAATCATAAAAATTATAAAGATTTCAAATTAACAGTGGAATACAATAATCTAACAGAGCAGATTCTCAGTCTTAAGCAGGCAGTGCTTTCAAATGGAAGTTTAAGACTACAGTCTACCTCCAGTTGCTACAGTATTTAATTTCAGAGTATGCAAGATCCCAACCATGCAACAGATAGAAAAACTTCTCTCTCTCTCTCCAAACTCAAACTGAATTTAAAAAATTACCCGCTATTGTTTTTACACCAGAAATTCCTCAAATCCTTCTCAGACGGGAGAAGAATAAAAGGACATCTTAATTCAGACCACACTCTTGAACATTTGTGAGTTATAATTTCTAATATTAAACACAGTGGACTTCCAAAATGTGGGGTTGAAAAAGTCAACATGGAATTTTGAGTAGAAAGCACCAATTCCTGACCTGAACCCAGATGTTGTCCAAACACTTTCTGGTTTATTTTTCAAATCCCCATTTTTTAGAAGACGTGAACATTACACACAGAGCCTGGATTCAGCTAAATCAGGGCTTCCAAGGACCTGTTCCAACATGATATCTGACCCAATTAATAAACTGGAACAGCAGTGAAATGTTGCAAGCCTCTCCAGAAAGAACAGTCTTTCACTCTGGTTTATTAGGACTTGTTGCTACTGTAGCATCTTAATTCCAAATAAAAACTAAAGAAATAAAATAGAAGATTAACGTATTAGCTTGTTTGCAGCCACTGCACAGTAATCATGGTAGCCAGATTGCACAATTTACACCTCTTCAATTACTGCTCAAGCATCCAAGCATACTGCTCAAGTATCTGAGCAAGCCATGAAACATCATCCCCTTCATAACAATGAACTGGAAACTCAGATCTGCTTTATCACACAGTTATGTCAACCAGAGAAAGCCTCCTTTTGCAGATCTTTTCCAATGTCTATCTACTGTACCTCTTTAATCTTCTGTAAAGAGGATTAAAATACCTCTAAGTACCATGAAAGCAATCCACCAAGCATCATTCTTGGATCTCTGAGCCAAGCCATTTTTGTCTTGAAAGCAATCAATGTTAAATTTCAGTGTTGTGTTAAAAAAAAAAAAAACAACAAACCAACAGCACTAAATTTCCTACCCATATTTGGTAACTCTAAGTGTTGCTGCCCCTTTCTGATCAAACATAAGGCAAAAGATTAGTGAATAAAAGGTAGATTATTATGGTGAGGAAGTTAGGCAAGATAATAACCAAAATATTATTTTTAACACCTTCATCCTGTCTTGTACTGAGGAAATAAACTCAGGCTTTCTGCATTCAATTACAATCCCTGTTCAGAGCAGTGAAAAGGGGCTACAGAAGACTGATGTGCTGGAAGCATCCAGAAAATGAAAGATACAGAGAAAGTCATGCAACACAGAATGACTGGATGATGATATATATCTACCTATTCTTAGGATTAAAAGGAAAGAAAAAAAAAAAAGTCTACATTATTTCAGTTTCAAGTTGTTGATTTACTTAGAGATCCAGTATGTATGCAGCTCAAACTGAAGGTGATGAAGTACTGTAAAATCTCTTTATTTATTTTTTTGGAATCTACTATTTAGAAATCCCAGGTATGGGAGTTTACATGGCAACTTACTTACATTAATCAGTATTACAGTAATTCCTAGAAGGCTTAATCCTGGCAAGAGGCCTTCATTTCTGGTTTCATATTAATACAGTATAAAAACAATTACAGTATTAGAATTAAAAGATGTCCTGTTCCCAAAGGACTCTGAACTGAAACACAAAATAAAAGGAGACGAGAAGATAATGAGACAGTCTAGAGCATATGATAAACTGCTTGGTCTCAGCATAGCAGAAATCTAATCACTGAAGGAATGTGCAGGCACATGTTTAATGTCTTTGAACAAGGAGAATTTTAATGAAGAAGAATACTGCAGTAACGAGGATGTTTACAGGGAGAACCTCCCAAATGCAGCAAGTGCCATGGAAGGAACAGAGATGAAGTGTGTGGCCAACAGCAGCAGTGTCATCTGTCAATCAGAGGCAGACCTTGACTTCCCTATACTGAATGAAAGCCAATGAATATAGAAGAAGCGACGGCACTAAAAGTAGTAGTTGTATTTGATGCTATGAAGAACTATGTAAGTGATGATGGACCCCAGAAAAGGAAGGTTATTTTATGAAAGCTAGAGAAGGCATGGGAGCATCACTTAGGCAGATGGATATGAAGCAGAAAGGTTGTACCAGTCTGGATGCACACGGAGGCTGAATCACAACACTATACAGAGACTATACAGAGAGAACCTGCAAGATGGTGCCTGTGTTACTCTGCTTCAGCTACTTCAGAATTTCACTAGCTGAACACCTTGCTGGTGCCCAGCTCAAAATCTAGGTAAATAATTCAGAGCAATAAATGATCTACATAGTAAAGTGCTACAAGCAGAAAAGGCTTGAAGAGATTATTAGAAAACTTTATACTAATTCATTACTGCTGGAGGCATTCACTTTCCAACACCAACTCACTGAGAGGTCCAGCAGAACACTGTTCAGAAAATTATTTTGCTTATAGCAAGGTCCATATAAATTGAGATTATTCAGAAGAGACTAATATGAGATGTTTTGCTTTGAACTTTTATGTCAATCAATTGTCTACTTTAAAAACACAGTTCACAATAATGTTAGAGACCTTATAAAAATTAAAATTTTGGGAGAAATTTATAAAGGAGCTTGAGGTCTTACCTAGCAAGTCAGCAGAACTGGATTCATTTTTTAAGAGACAAAAGAAGAAAACTTCTTGTGAATGAGCAGATACTGGCAAAAGAATGATGCAACATGTTACAGCTGTTGTAGTTCAAAAACATCAAGAACCTTGTGCCTCTAGGGATAGTTGGAACAACCCAGGATAAATACTGCCCCAAGTATTACTCTCATGCCCATTTATTCTTTAAGGGAAAAAACAAAAAGCCTAGCTAGACATCCCTGAAACCTACCATTATGGATTATATTTTAAAACTTGACTTCCTGCCTTTTGGTACTGCAGTCCACAGACTCCATTTCCAAGACAATGTGTACCCACAGGCACATTTTATTTAAACACTACCTTTAGAAATACCAGCTTGAAAACTGGCTGCTCTATTTCATTTAAAATGTTCACAACCCTCCCTAGAATTGGTTTGGGTTTATTTTGCTTCTTATAACCTTTATTTCTGGCCACACAGAATCTTTTTTGTTTTAAATTGAAACTGCCTTGCTATCTGGTAAATTTTAAACATCCTATTAAGCTCCATTTATCTGCTGGTTTATGTATCCCCGAATCTGTTTATCTGTGGTATCTAATCTACATCTTTTCTCAGCTTCTCTTCTCCAGACAAACAGTTCTGCATTTTAAAATTTCATTTATAACAGTAAGCTTAGGGCATGCTATTAAAGTTGGACACAATAGATTTAAGACAAACCTGTATCTATATTTAGACAAGCAGATTCAATGCTAAAGTGAGAAATAAAAGGACATTTTGGATTCAAATTTAAAGTACCAGCCATTCAGACCAGAATTCTCTTCATGCTCAAAATTCTAATGCTCTAATTTGTAAATATCCCTCAAATTATTTTATAATTAGAAACTGAACTAAAAGTCTACCTAGCATAGATTATAACTTCCTCAGGGTTTATACAAGGATATTTCAGTTTCCCTGTAGAAGAAGAAAAAATAAAAAAGACTAGTAAATAATCTGAAATACTACATGCTGGAGTTTTTTAATCTGAACAGCTAAAGAGTGAGGAACAACCTATCAGTTTGGCCTGAAAGGAATTGCTGCCACAGCAGGTAAGGGAAGTTACAGGAAAATAACTAGTTGTAGTACCAGAAAGTCAGATGGGATTGCTTCTCTAGAAATGCCATCTCCAACTATGGATATGTTTCCTTTGTCTGCAGAGTACTAGGACACTGCATGCTCTGAGAATTTTAATAGAGGAGTGCCAGAAAAATTAATTTTTCATTTTGGTAATGATGCTTGTTGGTTTTGGAAATTCTGGGTTTTCTGGTGAGGGTTTTTTTTTGGAATGAGATCTACACGGTCTTGGATTACTACATATTTCCTCCTTGTTTTATAGATGATCTGTTTCATGACTGTTAGGTGCAATAACAGGCATTAAGCAATGAGTGGAATCTATTTTTCCAGCTTGAGAAGTCTCAGTTTTCATTGCAATGATTTAAGCTATGTATGCACCGGTCATAGAGGTGAGAGTTCCTCGTGAAGGCTTTTCACATAACCACAGCACCTGTGAAAAATGTCATAATATTTCTCATAATCTGATTCCAAAGGGAAGCATGAACTGGGAAAGATATGCCCGAATTATATTTCCTATGCCAAGATATTAATTTTTGTCTTTGAGGCCCAATGTTAGCAAAATAGGCAAAGCAGTGCAAGCATACTGGAAGAACCTCTCTCCGATCAACAAATCTTGAGGCTAAACTTAAGGTATGATTGCAATGAGGCAGCACACAGGACAATCACAAAGAAGAGCAAGGAAACATTAAAAAAAATAATAATCATATCAACAGATGCAATCTTTGGAAGCTTTTAACAGACTTCCTGCTTCCTAATATTAAATTACTTTTAAATTAAATCAACATTATGAAATAAAAACTACAATGTAAAGACTGATACTTATATTTGTTCTCTTAATGCATGTTCCACATGTTGTCAGTGACCGACACCAACACAGACATCTAAAATATACAAATAAAGCTGCATGCCCAGGATCAACAACAGCAGTGCTAGGCTGTTTTCATTACCCGTATTTTACTGCACTGGCAGGATCCTCAGTAATCTCTCTGTATGCCAAACTAAGATATGCCACAGTTCTCTCGGTAGTACCAAGAGGTCTCCCTCAGTGCTCCACATGGACAGGTAATTTCAAATACTTATGTCTCTGATAAGTCTCCATTTCTCTCTGTACCTTGACTATGATTATCCTCACATAGAGTGCTTGAATCTGCCTGTATCTGGTACGATACTCAAATAAATTGAGTGTATTACAATAGTCCATTCCAGGTCTATTTTTTACTTCACATGACCTTTACTTCTCAATATTCGCTGCAACACGTGTTGTCTGCCAGTCGAGATCCTCCCCAGTTACATCATCTATAAACTTAGTCATCTTTAGAAAACATTCATGCTTTTCAGATTGAGACTCTACATCCAGCTCCACAAACACACTGAATAAGTGAATCAAATTTGTTCTTTTTTATTAAATCCAGATATTCACATATGAAGAACCCAGACAAAAGGTCTTATGATACGTGTTGCAATGGACATTGGTAGGACTTTTCACATAATTAAGGACTATTTACACAAATAACTGATGTATAAAGACATTAAGGCTCTTACAAAAGTCTGGTTCCCACTGGAGTCAGAATTACAAACAGGTTCTATGCATGTTCCCAGCAATTCATCACTGTCCTGTACAAAGTGGACACAGACAACAAAGCTTGACCTTACTGTCTATTGGGAGATTAACTAACAGAGGCATCAGTTAAGAAATATTTTCTTAGAATTAACTTAAAATATGAACATTTTCATGTACCTTTCCTGCTAGGTAACACACACAAAGAGACTTTTGAAGACTGTTCCACTGTCTTTGAGATAACGTAGTCAAATGACTTCCAAGAAAACAATTTAGATATTTACCTTTCCATCTTATTAATGAGACTTGATATCTGGGTTGCGGCTGCATTTATAAGAGCAGAGGCTTGAGAATCCCTTAACTGTATCTTACTTATAAGATACTCTCTGTAAGCATATCTTCTATTCAGATAATATTTCTTGCTCGCTTGAAAAAAATCCATTAGCTCTTCAATGTCTCCCTACAAGAAAGAATGTGAACAAATGTATTTCATTAGATGTAATGTTAATTTCAGCTAACACCTGTGGGTATCAGACCATATTTGTTCATTAACAAGGCAAAGTTAAACATCTCTTAGAAGTGATAAACAGTAAGATTATATCAACTCTAACAAACACGTAAAATTATTACTGTAATTTCAACAAAACAAAATAAATAAAACTAAACTTTTGGACTGAATACCTCAATATTATGTGTACTCTCTTGAATATCTAGTGCACCTCCCGGGAGCGTGAATTTAACAGGTCATTTGATCAGGTACTCACAAATAAATATACATACAACCCTACCAATTCAGTAGAACTGTTCCTGCCTCAAGCTATCCACATGCTGAAAGATCCTGAACTGTGATCTGAAGGCAAATTATTTTCAGTAACAGGTGAAGTAGGTGGCATCAAGTCCTTCTTTCTTAATTACTTTCCTTTACTATGTATTGCATGATGAAATAAAGGGTAAAATTTTCATGTTGTGAAAGTTGTCTAAGTTGACTTCAAAGACAGATAAATCTTCCACTATGTCCAGTACAGTTTGGGGAAAGCCAAGCCCACTGTACACAGGCTGGCTCAGAAGCTCCTGACTCCAACAGTGGTCAATAGGAGTACCTAAAAGTGGGTCTGCTAGAGAACAAAGGTGTACACAGGATGGCCCATAGCAGATATTCTACTAGCATGAGACACCCTCAACAAGGTCTAATACTTAGGTGACCCATGTTAGAACAGCCAAGACATCATCAAAACTTCTTTCACTTGCTTTAACTTTTGCTAGCTGCTTAGCTTTCTCGTACGCCAGTGCTTGCTCATTTGTATCTGAGTGGCCCATGTATGGTTTTTCTGTAGTGAGACCTGACATTGCATCTAATTTTAGGAGTGGGCCTTGCATGTTTTGAAACCTACTTTCCAGATGTTGCTTTTGAAGCTTCAGGCCCTCAACCTCTATAACCACAACAATCATATTCTTCTCCAAGAAGCAACCAGAAGAACAGTTCCCAGAATTTTTGCAATCTAGAACACTAACTTTCAACACAAATTGGAGTAAAAAAGAAACCCTGGAGGAAACATCTCAAGCTATTCTGTTGCAAGAGGCTTAAAATGTAACTGAAAACAAAGTTGAAGTGCTGAACATACTCATCAGCATCCCCAACTTCATGAGCTAGAGATACTCAATCTTCAGCATGATAAACCACATTTTAGACGTTCCACAATTTCAATAATCTACATATTTGGATTGGGATTAAATATACATATTTGTATATTTATCAATATACAGTTGTTTAGATGTCTAGATGTGCACAATGATGGCAATTATACTTTTAATAATTATTCCTATGAAAATTAGTTATGTGTGATAACATACGGATAATTTATTTTAGAATTATGTGAGTGTAGATATTAACTGAAACATTTCTCAAAAGTTACTGTGAGTTTGTATTCCATTACATTAGGTTAGGAATGGAGTTATCCTACTACCTGTATTTTAGAGTAATCTTCCACTAAGATTTTAGCTGCTTCCAACTTCAGTTCTCCCTTGAAAGTAGCATTTGTTATCTGTGTAAAAAATATATTATGGAGCTCCTTTCTCTGGGTAACAGCCAATTGTCTATAAGCTTTTGCAAAATATTCATCCTGCTTTACCAGAAGGAACCTCTTCAGGCGATCCTGCTCCAGTCTGTGAAGTCTATCCAGAAGACTTCTGTATTCTAGAGCAGGCTGCAGATAAAGAGAGAAATAAATCTGAAGTGATTTTCAGTATTCGACATAAAGTATCAGTGCTACTAGCTCACACATTTTACACGTACTCTGATTACTGTCATTTTAGGTTTGAACGGAGGCTAATACTAAGTCAATGTACACTTTGCATGGTTTTCATCAGTTCTGAATAACAGGGGTGGTTCAGTCATCAATCTCTAATCAAGGCCTAATGAACTCTTTTTAGAATTTAGAAACATTAAAGATAAATGATACAAAACTGCATGGAATTTAACATAAAGAATATACACAAAATTTATTTCTTAGGTTTCATGAATCCTGAAATCTTATTAAAAGGGAATAAATTCACTGAAATAACAATAAGCATACATTTAAAAAACAATATAAATTAGAAAAAACAGTCTATTACAAATCTCTGAAAGTTCTCAATATTGGTGACCTACTTTATCTATTGGTTGCTGCAAATTAATCCTAGAGCATCATTTCAGAGTTACAAAAATGGAGCAGAATTAAATGGCAATTAATTGAAAAGCTTCTTTGCAAGAAATACTTTCTCATAGTTCTCCATGACGACTTAACATATTCATAGCTTTAATCTCAGATGGCATAAACTCATTATAGAATCAAAACATACATGTCCCACAGAGCAAAGAATACTTCCAATGCCAATAGAGCTAGCTAACAGTAGTTAGGTCGGCCTTGTTCTAAATTATGTATTATTTATCTGGAGAGAACTGTCCTCTGCACTAAGCCCTGCCCACACCTTATCCCTCATTCCCAAGAGACACACTGTAGACAACAAATAATTAATCAAAAAGGCAGGGAATATACATTCTGTGTTTTGGCTGAAAAGGAGAGGAGGTTATTGCTGCATCTGTTTTTCACTGCTGTCTCTTGGATATCGGTACGCCTGCTGCCAGTACAAGTGTGGGCCATTCCTGGTGCTTCAGAACCTCCTTTTGTACCAGGTTCCATGGCAAGTACAAAACCAGGTCCTTTCAACAGAGGGAAAAGTGAACAGCAAGACATTACTACATGACAAATGTATCAGGACAAGTGCTGGATTGGCCTTAATTCTTTGTTTGATTCCTACCATTCAGGATTTCTGATATAAACCAGAACGAACCAATACCAATGTATTCTGTGCAAAGAAAAGCCACTTTGCTGAGAACATATTCAGTCCCAGTTCACATAGTAAGTTTCCAGTCAGGCCCCTCTCCCTTCAAAGCTAGGATTTATATCAGAGATATCTTTCTTGGTGTTAGACACCTAGTCTAGTCTCTTTCTATCAACAACAGAATGAAGACGACTTCAGCAGAGTACAGTTCACTTCATCCTCAAAAAGATGTCCATGAGTATCCCTTCCTTGACTTCTCCTTTGACTTTTTAGCACTTCTAGTTCAGGATGTTCATAACCTAGATATATGAAATTTCCCTAGAGTCATAATTTAAAATTCACCTGGAAACATCAAAGAAATTCAACCAGTTCACAAGCTTTGTGCCATCAACTTTCTCCACAGAACAGCCTCATAAACCAAAGTTCTTCCTGAGAACTTCAACATTCTGTAGTACCTTTGATGGGTCACACTCAGCAAAAAACCTGTCAAAACTGCAATCATGAGTTGTCATAGAAATCCTTAACAATTATAGGTATATGATATGCAAATAACAACGCTTTCTTAAAAAAAAATTAAAAAAACAACCAAACACAGAAGGCAAAAAACTTCAGTAATGTCTACAAAGACAGCATACACAAGCATGTATCAGGGAATATACTCCTCTAAGTGATTATATTCCTAACATAACTTGTTTTGTCTCTATAATCCTATTGAAACAAACAGCTGGAAACGCAACAACATCACACTCAACATCCATGTATTCCAGAAGCAAAGCCTCACTGAGAAGTAATGAACTATTTATTCCCACCAAGTCATCCTCTTAATACAAGTTACCACATTAGACAAGCATGAAATATTAACGTGGACATTTTAGCATTTTAACCTTACAGAGGTGAAACAGTCAAATCAGACTGGAGCATAATTTTGTACATGGGATGTTGGACTGGTGATGCAGGTTCTGTTTCCAGCTAGTGACAACCTATGGAATCCTGGGTAACAATAGGTACCTATTTGGATAGAGATCTCTGAAAGAAAGTGATAGACATAAGCTAAGCTTTTTCTTAAAGGGAGACTAAACTTGTAAAGAACCATACTCTGTGTTAAATTATTTCTCTCACTATTATCCAGAAGCTATTTTCAAGGTAAGTCCAATCCCTACTCTACCTAAAATATAGATTGTTCTGCTTGCCTTCACTCAGTTCGGAGGAAATCAGCCTTTGATTGTGCTTATATTCTCATTTTCTTCAAAATATAACTATTGGAAGCTTTTTAACCAGATCATAAGGTTTATGATGCAGAGAGTTTGTTCTGCTCTGAATGTGCAAAATACTACACAGTGTCTGATTGGAGTTCTTTGGCATCGCTGCAGTAAAACATATTAAATAAAACTACACCACTTTGCAAGGGTTTAAGTGACTATAAAAAAAAAAAAAGGGCAATGACAACCTTTCATTTTCAGGTGTCGCAGATTCTCTTGAGATAAATTAATTTTCTGGTGAAGTAAAACAGTTTCCTAATAACAACTGCCCAAATTATGACACTGGAATTTCTGAACAGAAATTGTACAGCTTTTCTCTTACAATTATAGAATAGTTTGGTTTGGAAGTGACCTTTAAAATTATATAGTCCAACCCTCTCTGCAATGAGCAGGGACATCTTCAACTAAATCAGGTTGCTCAGAGCCCTGTTAAACCTGACCTTGAACATTTCCAGGGATGGGGCATCTACCACCTCTCTAGGCAACCTGTTACAGTGTTTCGCCACCCTCATCATAAAGTTATTCCTTATATCTAGTCTACATCTATGCTATTTTAGTTTAAAAGCATTACCCCGTGTCCTGTTGTAACAGGCCCTACTGAAAAGTTTGTCCCCATCTTTCCTATAAGCCCCCTTTAAATAGTGAATGCAATAAGGTCTCCCTGGACCCTTCTCTTCTCCAGGCTCAACAACCTTAACTCTCTCAGCCTTTCATCACAGAAAAGGTGTTCATCCCTCTGACCATTATTGTGGTCCTCCTCTGGACCCACTTCAACAGGTCCATGACTTTCCTGTGCTGAGGACTCCAGAGATCTGTACTATCCTAAGAGGACAGCTCTGCCATTCCAGTCTAAAAGAGATATCACCTATATAAAACCACATATCATGCAAAGTATCTTGATTTTATACCAGATCTACCTTTTCATTCATTTTCTTCATTAATTCTTCAGCCTCTTCATTTGCATTTCTTGCTTTTTGGTGTTGAACCTCCATTTTCTTCTTAGTTTCCAGATTACATTCAGCTGTTAAAGCTACCATCTTCCTTTCATACTCCTCTTGAATCTCTTTCTCCATTGCAAGAAACTGCTTTTTGAAAATTGAACTCATCCTCTTCTCCACATGAGGAAAGAGGCTGTGACTTAAGACCATGTTTTTCATCATCATAGCAATCACTTCTTTACATATCTGCATTCGATATGCCTCCAGATCTGCATCTGCTCGTGTCAGGCTGGCAACCTCCAAGCTGCAGAAAAGCAATTAGGACTGTTTGAAATCACAGATTACAGGAAATGTCTATCAGAAGACAAGGATATCTAGACTCATTCAATACTGGGTAACTGAATGGCAGTCAGAGAAGTGCAGGGATATCAAGGCCTATGAGTTTACTAATCATGATAGTATTCCTTCAATTATAAAGCAGGGTAAGCCAACTTTTACTATAGCAACTTTAAAGAAGTATGTCTATTATTGCAGTTCCATTTTAGACAGAAAAAGGAAAAGCTTTTCTTTAGAACTCACAAACATGTCTCTCACAAACATTAATAGAAATACAGAAGAGATTAAAACCAGAGGGAAATACAAGATTCTTTTACGAAATGAAATAAAAGGTCATGTTGCATAGGAATTGTTGCATTCTCATTTATGAGTTAATTAAATTGCAAAGATAATTACTCTCATTTCATATAGTACATAACTACTGTAAATTCTATAGCTTTGCGTATTCTGAACTCAATTCAGGATTGAAACATTAAGAGGGTTTTGCCCCTGCATGTCAATTTACATGAACACACAGCACTTTATGCTTCTGTGTGTGGATTAAGTATACAAGAATTTCTTTGTGACCTACAAAATATACTTTTAAGGGCTTACATTATTTTTTCAGTTAAGCTACATTATTGGTTTGATTTGTTCTACAGTCAAATCTTAGAATAAATTTCCAATGCACAGCAAAGGTCTTCGCAAGATTTGCAAGATATCAGAACGATACTACATTCAGAATGGTATATATCAAAGCATGCAAATCTATAAACATCTTTTTGTCAAACAAATTTTCATTTATGTAAGCAAATAAAGTTTAACTGAAAGAAGTCAGTGATGTATTACTATTACTGCCCCTCTGTTAAACACAAGAGATGCATTTTCTCCATTCAGAAATTAATGGGATGGAATTAAGTTGTTTTCTTATAATGACTTAAATACTTGAAGTATTTAGGAGACGTTAGCTTAAGCTATGATAATCTACCACAAAGAGGCAGTGAAATTTTTCTGTCACGGTCTCTCAAAACCCCAGAAATCCACTGGCAATGTCCATGCTCATCTCAGTGATCTGCTCCATGGCTGACTGGTTCTAGCTACAAAACCTCCTCCATTTCCCCCATCTTCCTCCCATACATGAGCAGAAATCCCTGCCTCTGAAACACTGTGTGTCTGAAAGACTCTTCACAGTAACATGAAGATCCTGTAAGAGCTAATGTTTTTTATAATGTCCTCAAAACAATACAATAAGCCAGCTTCTCTGTGCTGTCTGCAGATGGATGCCTTGGCTGGTGGTCAGCTACATCCAGTTGAGTTCCCTGACACCCTGCCTGCTCCCTCTGCTTGGGGAAAGTCCTTCTCACTCCAGGACAGGGTGACAAACACAGAGGCCAGACGATGGTAAGATCAAGGGAACAGGATGCTGAGGCAACACAGCAACCACTTCAAATGGGCAGTGCGGATGTGTATTTTCTTAGTTGTCCTGTTCACCGAAGTCCTACGACTTCTGTTCATATAGCCTGCTAGTGCTATACTGTTTACTTATGACAACTTAAAAGTGTTTCAGTTTTGTACATACACTTAAATAAAAAGAAGGGTCTAGAAAATGGGAGCTTTATCCTATAACATTTCCCTAATGACTGTCAGGCCATGGTAAGAGGCTCCCCTTTGTAGATTCACCAATTCATTGTTAGCCTATAGAATTCAAGCCACCGGATTTATTTTTCTGTATTAATTCATGTTTCAAATCCAGTAGCTCTCATTTAACTGAAGTGTATCTGTCTTTTGTAAGAAACATCTCATCTTGGTTTTCAAGTATGCCCTAACAGAGAACTAAACAACACTCTAATTAATTCTTCCACTTGATAACTCCTTTGAGACTTAAAATGGTCACCTTACTCTCAGCTTGAATTTGCTTAGTTACAACTTCCACCTGTCTTTATGTGCTAGAATAACAAGTTATTTAATTATTATTTTTCTGCTCTTCATGTGTGCACTGATAGATGGTGGTCACAGCACCTAATAAATAACCTTTTTTTACTGAGATGTGAAAGACTGAATTCCTCATCTCTCTCCCTGGAAGGCAACACTTTACAGCTCCACCACACTGATTCATAGCTCGTAACACATTTCTTAGCACAAATGCAGAATTTTTTTCAGCTTGCTTTGAAAAAAGATTAAGCCATTCCTCACCCACCTCCTTACTTATTACTTTTCCAGTCTTCTCCAGCAGTGACCCCAAGAATGAAAGTCCAAACTAAACACCATCACCACATTTTCTATTGTTAGCTTCCCCTCAGTCTTCCCACAGCATTTCTTCCTATTTATTGCAAGTCATTATAGATTAGACCTCATTTCATTTTGAGCAAGATTCCCATGCTCCTCCTCACTCAGAAAGCTATGTTACCCAATTAATTCCACTCCTCAGAGATCATTATGTCAAATGCAGGTGGAGCAATAGGTGTAGTTCACCTTACACTCATGTGTCAGTGAGTGATGAGGTTGTTAAGATTTCAGGTGTAATCTGCAACTCACCCTCCATTTTCCTAACAACACATCAGTGAAGAAGGCAATGAAGCAGTAGCAGCATGTGAACTGTTCTACCAATCCAAGGGTAACAGCATGGAGAAAAAGTTAATTACAAGCCACAGCTCTCTCAGGCCACAACCTGGAAAGAAAAGCCAGGTCATTACCTTTCTTCGGTGGCAGCTGAAGAAACACTGCATCTCTAAAAATTTGAAATCTACCTCCCATGCAATGTGCTCTGCTTCTGATCTGCCTCCTCCACACAGCAGCCAGAGGGAATGAGACAAGCTCATCACATGCACCAGAAACCTTGCTTCAAGCTCTTACTCCAAATGAGAGGTTGGGGGCAGCTTTAACAAGCTGTATCAATACAGTCTTAGTCTGAGACTGTACAAAACAGGAATTCTGTACATATAATAAACCAAATGCTTTCAGACACAAGTCCATGAGAAGAGCAATGCTTACAATCATCGAGATTAAATGTGCAATGTTTTGTGACACCCAGGAAAAAAAAAAAACAAAACCAAAACAAAACACTAACCCGACACTGTGTCTTCTGAAACCAAGGTAGATTTAATAAATTGCTTTAAATGCTCTGCACTCTGCTCATTACAGTAATTCATGTTTAAAAGGTCTCACATGTCTTCCTGAGCATATTCAACATGATGAAACATGAAAGCCAGTGAAGTACACATAGCAGATGGCAACCTACTGATGAAAAAGATCAAAGCTTCTGTTGGACAAAGCACGCAGAGATAGGATGAGGACAGTACAGAAGACAAGTGATACAAAAGTGTGGGAGAAGGAAAAGTGAACAGACATGTAGAAAACTAAGCTGAAAACAGCAAGGGTAAAGATTTTTCACTCACTTGAAGAGGAATTAAAAGATCTGTCAGAAGACCTGGGAGGGGAGAATCCCAGACGTCAAATACAGAGAAGCAGAGAGAGTGCCTGAGCATCTGGTATCTTCCACAGACCTAATAAAAGAATTCAGGAAAGCAGCTATTGTCAGAAAGGAAACAACTACATTTAATTTTAAAAAAACCCACACCACAAAAAAAGGAAACCTTTCATTGACTACAAAATAACTGTGTTTTTAAGTCTTATTCAAATTCCCATGGAAGGAATTTTTGAACAGGAGAATAATAGCAACTGAATGTAACAGTCCTAAAATGAACTAAGGGCTTTCTGACACCTTTTTAAAATTAATTCAGAGTTTATAAAGATAAGAGACTACTGTGACACAATTTTCTGAAGTGTAATGGGGAGAGAAACATCAAGAAAACTCCCCTTCAGTGATACTTTCTTACCAAAACAGAAAACCTCATCATTTTCAGAAACTCATCTCCTAACTTGCAAATGGAAACCAACTAGTGGCATGCAGCAACAGCATCCAGAAGGCACTGGAGCCCAGCGGTAGCAGTTTCTGCAAAAGCCTTCCTTCACGATACACAGTGTTGCCAAAAAACATGTAATTTAGGGCTATTTGTGGATGGTTCCTGTCTCCACTGCCCTGACACCCTGCAGCAGCCACGACCCAAAGCACTGCGGAACAGCAGCTGCATCAACTGCTGCTGGAGAGAGGAGCACAGCCGGGGATGGACAGACAGACATACAACTGCCCCCAGCCCAGTGGCATCCACTGCTACTGCCTGAGCCAGAGCAGCACGTCTCCTGCACCCATGGGCACAATGCCAACAGGTCAGCTTAACTGAGGAAGGGAAAAGGAGAACAAAAAAGAAGTGTTATGGTCCATGTTGCCTTGTCACGCTTCAGAGAAGTGAAGACGGAGAGAGTGTCAGATAGGGAGAATCATCCAGCCAAGACATTAAATTGTATGTTCCAGGGCTGGCTTTAGTAACAGTGAGCAAAGAAAGCCAGTTCAAGTATAAAGGGCATCAAAGGCCTTCAGTTGCAGATGTGGTTTGTTTCCTAAATCATCCATTTACTGAGAGATTAATAATACAACATCTATCAGTTGGGTTGTGCTTTGGTTTTTTGCTTGTTTTGTTTTTTGGTGCGGGGTTTTTTTTTTTGTTTGTGTTGTTTTTGTTTTGGGTTTTTTTTTTTAATTGCTGTGTCAATGTGGACCCTATGCACAGTGCTGCAGATTCCTCCTTCCCACATTCTCCTGCTGGGTCTGGTCTCAACACAGATTGCAAATACTTCAGGGCAGGGATTTATGCAGGCTGCAGCACCAGGTGTAAATTTTTGCAGGAGACCAAAACCATACTGAAGTAGAAGCACAGGTAATAGCATGAGGTCCAAATGACCACCACCAGCTACTGAGTGCTCAAATGCTTCAGTCCTCCTGTGCTGAAGCAGGATGCATTGCCTTTCCCTGGTCTCTGCCTGCTGACAGGCTGGATGCAGCCTACCTGTGTTAGAGGAGGACTGAAGATGCCCTGTAGCTACATCAGTAGCTGTACTGGCCTGCAGCCAGCTCTGAACTGGGAGAGTTCA